ATCAGTGCTATCAGAGAGATAGATTCCCCTCAGGACTCCTGCTTAGAATATGGAGAAGAACGAATCAGACAGAGGAGCATAAATATTCCACAGCTGGCTTCTCTGCCTGCCAGCTTGCCGCATTCTTCTGATTTCTTTCATCATCTCTTCCAGATTGTTGCTTTTGGAAAGTGGATTTGGACTCTTTGGACAGTTCATTCTCACAGAGGCCATCAACACTTCATAGAAAGTGACCATTTTAGTGTATTTAGGCAGTTTTATTTTGTGCATATGCTGTCCTGATCTAGTTCTTTAGCCTTAATCCTGATCCGTGTCCTTTAGTACCGGTTATCTGCAGATCCAGTGGTGATCCCTGACTGTTAGAGCTAAGCCTTCAGTCTGAGCCATGAATGTCAAAACACGAGGGAAGAAATACACCTCTAAGATAAGTGCTTATTTCTGAGTCCCAGTGGCACTAGTAGTTTGTTAGCACTAAGCTAATGGCGTTAACAGCTTTGCTGTTCTAGATTAAACACAAACATTTAAAAGACATTCCATGTTCAGAGTAACTCTATTGGTAGAGAGAGTATGGTGTAGAGCAGCCCCCCTGTTTTCTGTTTCTAACAACCCATTAATTAGGCTGCCACTCAATTTCACAGTGATGTATCTGGGACTTCCGGAAGGCCTAAAGTGACATTTTTCCTCACACAGTTGTTCCCACCTTTGAAAGTCAAAGCATGATTGGTTGATTCCTCTGCCCCTTTGTAATTATGCTGATAGTTAATCTAACATGTTAGACCTTCAGGTCAGGTCCTGAAGTCCTAACCAATGAGAGAGCTTGTTTAGCTGTACCTTCTTAGACATTACAGATAAATAAAAGTCCTGGGCAGTTTTTCCACTAGGTGTTAGTAGCAATACTACTACATACAAGAATGACTGTATTGAATAAAAATGAACTAACCATTATAGACGTGTTCCCTGAAGGCTTAGTTTATAGTGTACTAGTTTTTTAGTTCAGAGAAAGCCTAGGAAGCCCTGAGGGTTCCCTTCTGTGCCGAGTGTCTGCTTCATATACATTAAAGCATAACCAATACAGTCAGATAGGACATGTTAGGCTGCCAACTACTTTAAATATTGAGTTATAATCCAATTTGATGGGACCATCTGATGTTTTTGTCTACTATTTGCTTTAAAATGCATTAAAATCATTACATTTTTTATATGTGCGTAGCAAGATGCACTCTGAACTGGTGTGTTTTGTTTCTTGGGGGGAGCTATTTATGTGAAATCACCATTTTAGTGTCTTGAATTTCAAGCTACCCTAGCATGCATGAAGTACCCTTTTGTTTGGCTTTATTTGGCTCATCGCTAAGTGCAATATCCAAGCGCTCACATTTTAAGTTCATCTGGTTGAACCGTGTTTGATTTTCCTCTTTAAGATAGTTCTATGCCTCAAACACTTAAATAACTTCTAAAATGCAAGATGTGGATGTTTATTTATGTTATTTTTATGACAAGCGACAATAGGCGCGGTGATACCATTATATTGTCATTGTCGGGACAAAGTCATGTATCTCTGAGACAATAATTTTGTAGTAGGAGAAAGTGTTCTTAACATTTGTTAATGTAACTTTAAAAGCATAAAAGTAATTTTGGACTATTTCTGTTGGTCCATTTGTCATGAAATGATGTTTCACATGATGTGAAAATATTATTTTTTTTACAAGGCTCCAATATTGGTCATTGAGATCAGTTAAGGACATCCTTAGTTTGTGTACAGTAAGGCCACCACAGCTGTGAGCCCATAACAGCTGTTCTTCTTACTGCCTTATAATAGAATCTTCTACCATTTATAGTCTTGCAGTTCTATTTGCCAGCTGAGAGTTGGGGTCATGGGTCGGTCGCTGGTCTGTGAGGTGAAGCTGATTACAGAGTAAAAGAGGAACTATTATTGTCAGGTGACAGGGTAAAATGTGTTTGCCAGCCTGAAGCTGTGGGAAAACCTTCTAACTTGGAAAGTGAACGGGTTTAAAGGAAATAAGTAAGAGTATAGGACCTCATTGTGAAATTATTGACCTATAAACAAAGCGTCTTCAGACATAATACAACTCATAAGTGCCTTTGTCGTGTACTGTGTGTTTGTAAGTATATTGTGTGCATTTGGATTTAGAGGGGTTTGAAATCCTGCTTCTTAAGCCGATTATGAAACAACTCTCTCTCATTACGCATAGCTCATACTGCAGCACACTAGGCTAAGTGTGAGCAGTATGGCAAAAATATAACATCGTAATATCTGCATCTGATTGCACTGATCTGATCCTGGGTATTGATACCAAATGCAGTGTTCACAGGCAGCTCAATATTCACAACATTTACTTGTTGCTAACACTTTGGAATGGTTGAAAAGGACCAACAAAACAGTAGAGTAAAATGGTAAATAGGATAAAACATCTAACAGTTGATAAAAAGAAATGAATGGGCTGACATCCAGTCAGCTACTTGTTGTTTTGTACATTGTACAGTTAATATTCACCACTTGTTTTTGCTTAGAAGCTCTCTATATATGTATTTTTTATGGTAGATGAAGTTGTTTAGTGTTCTGTTGATACCCGTGATGTACTAAGAAAGTATGCTGTGCAAATGTCCAAGACCAGCCTTTTGTTTAATTTCCAGTCAAAATGGCAATTAAGTACAAGTTATTCAGAGTCAGAAAGCAAAGCAGGACCCCAGACCTCAAAATCTTTGAATGTGTTTGGGATTACTTGTATTACAAGAAGCCAAAAAATGCAACCAACTTCTCAGACTGAGCTTTGAAGGTGTGTAAAAATATCATTACAAATTTAGGTAAGTCTTAAGAAAACAGTGGAAGCTGTAATATAGGCGAAGGACGTACTTACTTAATATATAAAAAAAAGTATCTAGCTGTTGAGGCTTCTGTGTAATTTTCACTTAAATGTATGTTTTCTACTTTTCTCCTGACAATAAAAAATAAACTTGTACTTAATGTCCATTTTGAGTGGAAAAAGGAAAGGGTGGTCTCTAACTTTTGCACAGCCCTGTAACTTATGACAATAATGATAGCATATTGTTATACCCTTACACTAGGTCTTAGTATTACCACCCCCCATGATGAATGTGATTGAGGGCTAAGACTTTCTTTCGACTGAAAGCAGTAGAGACAGTGAGAGGTGAACATATTTATAGTCTTGACCTTAATTTCCTGCTCTTGAGTAAGTGGACAAGGGAGGAAGAGGAAAAATATTCCAAATATTTGCACGAGGGTCCTGCTCTAAGTTGTGGTGGTTTCCTAGATTGGAAACAAACATGGAAAAATAGCCAGGCTATGGTAGGAAGAAGGCTGAGTCTATATGGATCCCAGATGCAGGGGAAGCTCTGACTTCCTGTTGCCACATTTTTGCTGAGGGATAGCTGGAATACTGAGGCTGGTTGCCTAAGGAGGCAAAGGATATTAGGACCTAGTCTTTCTACGTCTATTTAGTAAATATGAATAAGGGTCAGACAGTGCCATTTACGACATTTCAGAGTTTGTTTTTATTTCATTGTCCAACCAACCAACAAACCTCTCAGCCACCTACCCAAACATTCGTTCATCCAATCAACCAACCATCTATCCAAACATTCACCCATCCAGCCGACCAACCAACCACCTAACCAACCACCTAACCAAACATTCATCCCTCCAGCTGACCAACCAACCAACCACCTAACCAAACATTCATCCATCCAACCCACCAACCCCCCAACCACCTAACTGTCTGTCTGTCCAAATTAATACAGAACTTAGCCTAGTAAACTCACAATTGTAAAATGAACTGTGGAGATACACAGCAAGATTATTGAGTACCTTAAGAGCAGAAAATGAACAGAATTCGACTGTTATTGTTTATAGCAAGAAAAATCCCACTGTACCACAATTAGTCATAGCTCAGAGAATTCAGTACCACTGAGGTGCATGCTCATTAAAAATGGCCTTGTAAGGACTTAAGAAATGTGGGGAAGTATTTTTAAGAGATAAGCTGGCCGAGTTGAAGCCAGAATGTTAGGTGGAGTGTAATAAGCAATGAAAGAGATGTATTTATAGCTCAACAGGGCAGGCAGTCATTTTTGGAGAAAGTGCAGGAAGTTGATTCAGCTTTTGTTTTTGCTTGCGTGAACATTTACCGGAGTCTGATGCAATAGGAGATGCTGCAGATCTTGTTGTTGTTGTTGTTGTTGTTGTTGGATGTGAAGGTTACATATCTAGAGCATGCAACAATGTGGAAATGAATTTTTCTTGCCTTGCCACTGAAAACGTATGCTTGGACTGAATGGTTTGGTTTCTTGTACTGATAAAACTGAGAACTTATTGTGATTTTCTAGTGTGTCATTTTTTCATGTGGCGCAGGTTGTTGCTTATCGTTTGTCTGGTATAAGACCACTAAAGATGAGTCTACCAATGAACAGCTGTGTTCTTAATACTTTACCTTTTGGAAAATGTATTTTGTGTTAACAGAGGATGGATGAGGATGGATGTTATTGTTACTTGATATTATTTCCATCTGTATTTTTTATTAGTTAGCCAGCTTCATAGGATATTATGATTTTTAATAGTCATGGGTGGTAACTAGCTCCAACATTTAGTTACTAATTGATTTTTTTTTGTCTTTAATTTCTTTGTGTTAAGTAGTGACAGCATATATGCTGCTTTGTGGTTGGTCAGCTTTAGCATTTTATTTTTGACCAAAATTACATTTGAACAGAAGAATAGTGCCTAATAATCTTCAGTTCCTATGCTAATAGATGGTGGATGTGATCTACAAAGAAGTTCCATTGCAGTTCTATAAGTTACTCCATACTTAAAAGGTCTATATCATGGAAATCTGAATTTTCTTTACTTTCCTCACTTGTTTTAGTAAAAAACGTCGATAGACATCGTTACCATTCACGTTACCCAGTACATACAGTCTATATATCGAAACAAAGCTCAATCTCTCACTCAGCCTTTCTCTCTCTCCCTCTAGCACATGCATCGCTGAAGATGGTCAATTTCTGAGTCAGCGTGTGGTGAGCACACTACAGAGTGGAAAAAAGAAAAAGACAGCTGCTTTTGATCGCCCCATCACGTGAGGCCGGCCTACCAGCATGTCCGCAGAGACGGAGTCCAGCACGCCTCCGGCCGAGCAGGCGCCCGTGAAAACACCGTCCAAGAAAGAGAAGAAAAAGAGTATGTATCACTGTTTTCAGACTTGAAACCTGGGACATTATTGGTATACATCTACAGGCCTTTGCGTCATTCAAATTTGCAGTCGTCAAATGGTATTTGTTATGACGGTCCCATGACACAGGATGTGACCTCGGCACAAATCTCCAACAGGTCCTTTACTGCTGGTTCAGTTTTCAGACATTCCTCCTGTTCTTCGTCTTTGTGTGTGCTACACTGTGCTAATCACTAGCCTCTGAAGGTGTTAGCATGTCATAGGAGAATTATGTAATCAAGGTGCCATGCTTTTTTCCGCTAATGTATTGGCATCTGTTCATACAAGAGCTCTCCTTATAATTTCCCAGGAATTGATTGATGGTTGATTGTCGATTACTTAACTCCTTCCAGGATAATTACAGTTGAATACCCACATAGAAGTGCATGCCTCAAAGACCATTTATTGTCGAATGGACTCTTCATAGTAGGGTTGGGCAGTATGATGATGTTATCTGTGTATATATGCAGTACTGTGCAAAAGTCTTAAGCACATTGTTTAAAACCACTTATCTTGGCAATTAGTGTTTTTTGACCATAGAAACACCATATATCACTAGAATAGATGCAAATAAACAGAAATACTGCAAAAAGTAACAAGAATTTGTATTTTGAAATCCTGTGAGATAAGTTTGGCTCTGGATATCTCCTAGATGCCCCCAACCATTGCAAAGATTTGTTAAATTCCATCACTAGCCTTCCTGATTCAACATAATTAAACATAGATTAGCCAGTCCAGGTGTTGGATGGTAACTGCAGTACTGGGCTGCCAAGAGAGGAGATGGTTAAATTAGCACATTAACATACATAAAATTACTACTTATGGTGTTAATGTTATTTCCATTTATTCTAATATTTGTGTTTTTGTGAGAGAATAGATGCTTACTGCTCAGATAAATAGCTTTTTAATTCTAATTTTATCAGGTGCAGTTTTGCACAGTACTGTGTATATATAAACATACACCTTTGGCAAACATGGAGTTAGTTCTTCCCTAGGCTTTTTAAAATGTGGCTCCACTGTTTAACTGCTGCATTTTGTCTGTTCCAACTTGTCTGTTCCAACTAACCTCAAGAAAACTAAATATTGTGATACATATCGTGTATCGTGGAAATGTTTTGATGTTATATTTTTGGCATATCGCCTGCCTTTAGCATGCCAGGGAGTTCGGTTAGCGAGCGTGTGGGCCAAAACGTGGGTTTTCACAGATGGCTACGCCACTTTCAGGCCGTTTGTTTTTCTGAAGCAGCTTTGCCAGTCACTGCTGAGAGGCTTGTAGCCATGTGCTGAGGTCTGGTTTATCTCAACCCTTTTGTTTGTCCTCCTTTTTCTGTTTTTTTTTGAGGATTATGGAGTTTCTCACTGGAGTTCTGGCTTTGTGTCGTGATGTGCCTCCTCCCTCTTCACAGTGAGGCAGTCACCAGACAAGAACTTTGTGCTAAAGTTTGGTTTTGAGGTTTTAAAAAGCCATTATTGTGTTAGCGTGTCATTAGAGAGATAGTGACTGTCTCGGTCAGGTTTTAAAGGGAACCGCTTGTTCCCAGAGGACAAATGTAACTGGGAGCCAGGCCCAGTGTCCACGTCCACGAACTAGCCAACAAAGCCAGGCTGACGCCACAGTAGACCTCTATATAATCTTCCCTCTGAAGTAAAACTTAGCTCTCCATTTGGGATTTTGCCTGAGAATGCTTCTTTTGTCACTATTACTCCTTCAGATGGAAAGCATCTTTCAAGACTGAATGGTTTGATTTATATAAAATTAAAAGCCAACAGAACTGTACTTCACTGTGTCATTTTTATTACAATGCAGTATCAAAAGCTTTAAAGTTGTTGCCTGTTGCTTGTCCAATTGACCTATTATTGCTCCACCCACAGACTTTCTTTTGACCGTACTGTTGCGAAGTTGGACGAGCTTTACAGAACTTTTTAGAGAATTTGTTTTTGTCATTTTCACATGAGACTACTACAGTATTTCTTTGGAGTTGGTGCATAACATTGAGTTTCCAGTTAAAAACGCTCTGCTGCAAGCTAGACTACATTGTTGCAGCTAATCAAAACTGGGCAACAAATGTGCATGCTAACATTATACAACCAAAAATACTACACCAGATCTATCCTTACTCTGTGACCTTTCACACACATGCAAAAAAAATCATTTAATATTGATAATGTATTATAAATATCCTTATTTTGATAAAATGAACTTAAATGCTTGTTGTGTGCTGTTGAATGGAATTTTTGCCACATTCTGTAAAGCTTGTCCAATCTCATAACAGATCCTGTGAACCCATTTGTAGGCAGAGCACGGTTAAATTGAGTCATTTGGAGATCATGTAGATGTTCAGTTATAAAATACAATAAGTTAATCAATCTACCAATGGACATTTTTTATTAATTTACTTTTGAAAAAATGTCTTTTCGTGTTAATAGACGAAGGCTGTCTTTTATATAATTTCCATTTGTACTTTTTCCTGCGATGCATGAAACATGAGGCAAGGGTCTTTTTTATTAGTTATCCAGCTTCATAGGATGTTATATAGTTTTTAATATATTTTGATTTTGACTTTATATGTTCCGCATCTGGAGTACATATGAATGGGCGCACTTGTAATGTTTAACAGACAGCCTATTCAGCCTCTTGAATAGAGGACTTTTCTTTTTTCCCTTTTAGTGGAAAAAGCAGAAATTAGAAGGATTATGCTTTGGCTGGGTATACTTCCAACTAAATCTCATAATAAGAGCGCTCTACATTGACAAATGTAATGGATAGAATTGACTTCATTCAAATTTGTACATCATTGCCATATGGAAGTATACAGTACTGCGCAAAGATCAGAGACTGTCCTTCACTCATTTAATTTCCAGTCAAAACAGCCAGTAAGTTATTCATTTTTCAGTGTAAGGAAAAAAGCAGAAAGCATATTGAACAGAAAATTACACAGAAGCTTCAACAACTACATGTAATATCATTTTTTTCAGTATTTAGTGAGTCCACCCTTTACTTTTATTACAGCGTTCATTCTTTTTGGGAGACTTGCTTTCAGTCACACCTCCAAAGTTCAGTCTTAGAAGTTGGTTGCATTTTCTGCTTCTCACAATTCATGTGATCCTAAACACTTTCAGTGATGTTGAGGAAGGATGGACAGAAACACCTGTGAATTTTTCAGATCTGAAACAAGAGTGGAGCTTGATTTTCTCAAAGATGAAAGCTTTAAGTGCTGTTTATCTGATGGTGAGAGTTTTGGTGTTTTACCAGGTCATGCATTGCTTATTTAGTCCCATTTACTCTATCTTTTAAGATGTTTTTGAACTACAGTTTTGGAAACATCTGTTCTTTCACAGTGCTCAGAAATATCCCTGAAAAGTGAATTACATGTATTTAATAGCCGTTTTGACTGGAAATTGAATAAGTGAAAGATGGTCTTTGACTTTTGCACAGTACAAACATTTTACATCAACACAATTAATGCCAGAAGTAAGTAAGGAAGTATGATAATTTATATTAGACATATATTCTGTTAAACATAATCCAAAAATAGCCTTTTGATGTAGTTTCGAATGCAGCCCAGTTATTATACAAATCCTGTACACCTGATTTCCCAAATAAGCCCATCGACGAACAATGGCAGGCTGCTAATGAAGTGGAACTGATGGATGAGAGTGCTAGCTCCGTTTGACATGTACATTGGCTGCTCCATGACCATGTTGCATTGCTCAGCGTCTTCTGAAGTAGGTCATGGTGGCCTACAGAACACTAAAGGCCTGTATGCAGTGTTTCGCAGGCCTCCTTGACCCAATAGTTCTCTGGATTTATTTTGCTAAGCTGGGCCCGGTGCACAGTGGTATTGTTTGTCTTGCCTGGCTTGCTCATTCCAGAGGAGCACGCCGGTGATGGATTCCATTAAGGCTCTGTTGCTGTTTCCACAATACCTTCCAGCTGCGACTGCGAGACCTTCTCCACCATGTCTGTTTATGATCTTTTTCCACAGGCATGAAAACAACTGGACTCATTCTCACAGTCCCACGCTGAGGAGCCTACGGTGACTCAGGCTATAAAGTGCATCTGGGGTGGATGGACGATTCACACTGTGATGCATTTCCCATTAAAACTCCAGCCACAGTGTTAAAAAGTGTTAAACAGTGCAGAGAATAACTTTCAGCTAGATTATTCGTTAGCTAGCAATGGTTGGGGAAAAAATCAAACGCTCAAACGTTTCCCCTTTGGCCAAAGATAGTATATCTGCCTAGACAGTGGAGTTATGAGATTGTAGCTAACAAGTAATTGAAGTTTGTAGTCAATTAGCATCATGCAAACTGAGAATTTAATAAGATTTGATGCAGGTATTTGATTCAGGCATGCAGTTACTTATGCAGCTACATTAGCTTTGTACCATTACTTAGCAGCATTAGCTTCATATCATTACTTAAGTACATTATATGTATAGCATTACATAGCTACATTAGATTTATACCATTACTTAGCTATATTAGCTTCATTATTTAGCTGCATTAGCTTCAAACTATTACTCAGTTACATAAGGTTCATGCCATTACTTTGGCTTCATACCGTTAACAATAGCTTCCAGTGCAAATCTAAAGAAGCAAACTTTGACTTCATGTCTTAGCTGACTACGTTTGTAGGAAGGGAAAATTTTCTACACTTGATTTTTTTGGCCCAGTTGTTGCTTTGTTGTTTGAGGAAGTTTATTTTCCCTTAGCTAAGCTGATGATTTCGTACATGACATTTTAAAACATTATGGCTTTGATTGACATGCTAGTCTTGCTCTGAGACGTTTTTGTGTCTGCTGAAAGAATCAATTAACCTTGGCTCCAGTATCGCCTGCATCAGGGGGCTCATTTGTAAATGGCTGGTGTTTTAAGTGCCTGTCACTTGTGAACGTCAAAGCACACCTCATATCAGGAGCACAGTGGGAACTTGTAGTTCCAAAAATCTGCTGTCTTGCTGTCTAAGGAGCTTAGCGGTCATAGGTCAAGCTGTAAATGACGTGCATGGTGAGGTCACAAAGTTGCCCCCTAATGTTTCACTATTTTAAAACCTCAGCACATCTGCTGGGGGCTATCTTAGTTAGACTGTTTCTGTTTTTTTTCTTTAACCCTTGGAAGTCTAGAGTCAGTACTGCACATTTTGCTGTGCTATACTGCTTAAATGTAATGGCATAATCACCTACTTAAGTACGTAGTTAATTAACATTTACTTTCAATTTACATTGTGTATGGCAGGTTTGAGTGCGCTCTTCTAACTTTATATCAAACAGATTACAAAATCATGGCAAAAATGTAAAGGATGTCTCTCATTTGTTCGAGGACAGTATTATTGTTCTGTAGATGATGTTTTTAAAATACTGAATAGGTGTCCATGACTCAATAACAACATTATTTGGTTGATATATTGTGACCTTAGAGAGTGTAAGGTTCTTAGTCACTTTACTGCTGGATTTTCATCCAGGGAATACTGGTGTGGCCAGTTGATATATTATCTATATATAAAGGACAGACAGATAAGCTTGCTGGATAGCACAACTATGGTTGTTGGGTTTTTGCTTGGTTGGTAGCGTTTGCTCTTTAAGTTTCTCTGAATCTAACAGAAATAAAGAAACCATAGACAGTTTTGTTAAAGTTGGGGGGCAGGTCAGCCTACTTCACCCTCAGAATGGTGGCCCAAGATTAGGACCACCCAGTTTACACTGAAAGAGGGAAATGTTGGCAAAATACATCAGCCGTTTAGTGGACATTGGAATGTTCTTCACTGGACATACGTATCTTATACATGTATATTGTGTGCCAATAATACCAAGATTCACCTGCTTTGAAGAATTTAGGTGCTCTGGGGCTTTACAGAGTAGAAAAGCATCGCTGATTTCTATTAAACAGATTCAGTATTTTGAAAACATTAACCACAACACATTAATTGTGCCTTCAGACTAATGGAAGTCAACTTTACAAAGCTTCTAAACTTTGTTCACAAACTGCCTAATTTGCATTAGATTAAGAGTATGATTACAGGTTTTATTTATTATAATTGCCCTTTAACAAGCCTTGAAGCTTTCCATCTTCTTCCACTTACCAAAAACAGAGTCAGCAGAGCCAGTTGTGTCTGACCTATTCAGATGGAGAGGAAGTGAGTGAAAAAGGCCTGCGCATTTGCTGGCATTATGCGTTAATGGGGGTTGTCCTGTTTCCTGGTGCTAACAGGGGGAACCTCCAGCCTGCTGGCTCTCTGCATGTTGTGAATGTCAATAGCGTCTCTTAGCTTGTCCACGACAGGACTAAAGTCTGGGCCCCCGCATGGAAGTGCCCTTTATTTCTTTTCGTCTCTCCGCCCCTGCTATCTACACAGGGCCAGCGGCCGAGTAGGGAACCCTGCCATATAATGAGTAGTGATGGGAAGTTCAATTTATTTTACAGAACTGCTTCTGTCTGTTCTTTAAACTGACTACATTAAGCAAAACCAATTCATGATTTTATATCATTTTCACATGTTCTCTCACTCCAGGATGCATTATTCAAATATATCATACAACTGGGAATCCCTATGGTGTCATCCATACCTGACTGCTGGCCTAGTCTATAGGTTAATAAATACAACCTAGTTAGCATTATTCCTACTTTGAGGGAGACAAAATTTTAAAGAAAATTTTATAAAGATTTTTATAAAATTTCGTAAAAGATCTTTAAAAAGATTAATTTATCTTTATTTAACAGAAATCGGACATCAGAGAAAGTAACTCTTTCATACAGACAAAAAAAGCCAGCCTGTGATAAGGTATCTAGGTAGCCAGATGGCTTGTTGTCTTTAACTTCTTGTCCTCATCTGAGGAGTCATTTCTGTAAGCTTCCTATAGCATTCACCAGCAAGTGAAGAAAAAAAACAGCCAACCCCGAAGCAGTTGTAGTTTTTCAAACGTTCCCACCTTCAAGGTACATCATCAAAAGGGGGGTTTGGTTCCTAGTCTTGAAAGTTTTCAACCTGCAAAATTTTCTGCTACGGTTTACAAACATATTTACAACATATTTATAACAGATGTAGTGATGTAGTTCAATTTTTTAATTTTTCATTTAATGTCCCCTTTAAACTTTAGGGTTCTGCACACTCTCATTAACAAAAGTGGTTCTTTAGAAAAAAACATCAGTTGAAAGGTTCTTTAGGGAAGAAAAGGGGTTCTTCTATGGCATTGATTCAAAGTGCCTTACTTTTCAAGAGTGCATTGCTAATAATGAGCTATAAAGCTCTAGAGAAAGAGAGAGCAAAGTGCTGTGAAAGAGAATGAGTTGAGAAAGACGATTGACCAGAAAAGTCAAGTGAGGGAGAATTCAGAAAATGGGAACAAGATGAAGAGGCAGAAAGCTCACAAAGAAGCAAGACCAGAGACTGAGAGAGAAAACAGTAGAGCCAAAGCTGCCAAAATCTGTGAAAGAGGATAAGCGAAAGAGAGTAATGGACTTAAGATTGATGACTGGTAAGTAAATCAAACTGAGAAACTGATGTCAAGGGAGATAAATGAAGAATGGGCAGCTTAATCTTCTCCAGAGAACTGGGTTGATAAGAAGACAGAAAAAGCACTAGTAAAGAAGGTAATGGTAAGTTCCAATCTTAACAGATGACCAGGAAGATACAGCACAATCATAGATGATTGTAAAGAGAACCAGCTAAAATGACTTTAGGCTTTATATCAGTGTTGTGCTGTGGCGAAGGCAAGCAAAAGAATGTGACGTTTGAAAGCATAATGTTTACTGTGATATTCAGGGTAATCTCTGAGGCTGGACTCTGAAGGACTGCTAGGAATAGCAAAGACATTTAGCTCTTAAACACTAGTTTAAGTTTGCAGTCATCGCCAATCATCATAACAGAGCAGTAGATTACCAAGGTGGTCTTTATCGCCCATACTGTGATTAAGTACCACATTTGTGACGCCTGATTAATGTACACCATTCAAGGAAGTCAAATCATGTGAGAGAACCTTTTTGTGAAGCACAAAAGCCTTAATAATGGGTTGTGTTGATTGTGAAGGACCTGTAATTGCCTTTTGGTGTGTCAAACGTACAGACTTGCCGAGGAGACTCTGTTCCCAGACGTTTTGTCTCACTGTAGACACACTACACTGAACCATTTGCTGTGTATGGTTTGTTATTGCTTTTGGCCAGATTACAGAAACCTACAAATTAATTGTTTTGTGATTTACAAGTTACGAAGTGGTTCACAAGTTCATTGTTTTGTCTCTGGAGTAATTTGTGCTCTGTGCGGTTCAAGGTGTCATGCTTCACATTAGCTAATTCACAGCCAATAAAGAATCTTTCTGGTCTGCACTTCTAAGCTACTATTCATTTTAATAGGTTGTAGTCAATGTTTTTAAGAGCTGAATCACCATTAGCTGGCTTGTCCTCACTTAATGAATCTGTTATAAAAAAAAGCACCTTATACCATTTACTTTTCATGTGATTGTACAGTTTGCAGCACATCTCTACAACCTGAATGCTAGCTATTCTTAAACAGGAATTCCACCGATACATAAAAAATTGTGCATAATTAAATGGTCAAGAAGTAAACACAGTCATTCAGAGTGGTTTGATGTGAAATGCTTTGTTCTAGAGAAACTTAGCAACTCAGAATTGTTCACAGTGGTGGTGACATGAACCAGACATCTAAAGAGTGGTTTGCTGTTAATTTTAGAGAAACTTACAGACGTGAATTTCTTTACAGTGGCCCTGCATGTGTTTTAAAAACAGATTTTAGGCTAAAAGATTGTTGTTGTAACCATTTTATGTAATAACTTTCTGTGACATAGCTGTTAGAGGCATTATACTCTTCAGACGTCTGGTCCATATCACCACCACTGTGAACTAATCTGACTTGGTGAGTTTCTCTAGAGCGTAGCATTTCACATCAAACCACCCTGGCTGACTTTGTTTACATCTTAACCATTTCATTATGGAGAAAAAAAGAAGAGGACTTCCCCTTAAAATATGACTAGACGTTGTAATAGAGTTTACGTCTTCAGTCAGGTTTGGATGTCAACAAATATGTGTCTTGATCTCAGGTCAAGTCCTCATTTCACATTTGAGTTCTCACAGCCTGCTTTTCCCCTTGTTTTACTTTTGCTCCTTGTTTTCATTTCCCTAAAGCAGTTTTTTTTAGTCTGGCATAGTGGAGTCTCTCACTTGACAGAATTTAGTACCAAATTTTAAGCCAAATTGTGCTCACTTTTTATAAATAAATAAAAGATTTTGATGTGGAATGTAAACATTGTTAAAGTTTCAAAATGTCCCGCTCACTCTGTCTAGACAGTCCGTATATGGAAACTAAGCTGCAAAAACAACTCATTTGATTTCACTGCTTTTGTGATGTCCAAAACCAACGCATTTACACATATCCACCTTTTCAGCCTACAGCAGTTTAGCTCCACCCATTTGCACTGAAGTTATAAGAAGTGTTTCAGACTGCAATAATACAGGAGAGCCCGTCAAAACAGAGATAATTTATGTGTACCAGTATTAAAGGCACAGTAAGAAAAATAGCCTGTTTTTGGTACAAAGTGCCAGTCAAATGTGCTTTTATTAATAGAAATATCAGGTTTACTTTAGCACTGAAGTGATTATGGGCTGGTTTAACGAGCTCAGGTCAGTTTCTGACTGGTTGAGAAAATATCTGGCCCGTTTGAAGCTCTATATTGTGACATCACATAATGTTATCTTAGTGTGATTGTTTTCCTTAAAGGGTTACATTTCCCCAGCATGGCACTGCTATCACTGACTTCAGACAGATAAAGTCATCTTGTTTCGTTAAATTAATGCACAGTCTTTATGTTTTCTTTATCTCTATCACAGCTGCAGCCAGTCCAGAGAAAACAGATGAGTTCCTGCTAGCCAGGTTCAAAGGTGATGGCGTTCGGTACAAGGCCAAGCTCATCGGAGTGGACGATGTGCCAGAGGCCCGAGGGGACAAAATGAGCCAAGACTCCATGATGAAACTGAAGGTAGGCCAAATGGCAAACAGTCAAAGAGACATTTAACTCATTTTCAGGTTAGAATGACCTTACTGTACGATGAAAACACTTGATGTAAAAAAAAACTTCAGAGTACTCTGTTAAAAAATGTTTTTTTGTGGATTAGTTATAGGCCTTTGATCGCTTCAAATATATTGTAAAGCGTATTCCTATTTTAAAGTAAATCATACTGAAATCTAATCATTTAGCTTAGAGTAAATTAAATCTGGTTTCTTTATATTTATACAGAATAATGTTACATTCAAATCAAGTCAAGTCAGTTGTTCACTCATATTCTGTCAAACATCTCATATTTTGAGAATTCTGTTAACAGTTCACTAAATCCAGTGGATTTAATTGCAGGAATCTATGTACTTGATAAGAGAAATTAGTTTTTTTACTAAAAAAGTCTGCAGGTTAAAATATAACTGGGCAAAAGTACAACATTAATTGTTATCATGATATTGTGAGCATATTGTAGATATTGTCAGTACATTTTGTCAGAACAATGAGCAACATGTTTTATTTTAAAGAGAGCATAATTAGTCCTGATTAATTGTATTTAGAGCAGTGCAGTACGTGAAACATTGAATAAATACTGTTCATACTTTTTGATACTATTTTTAAAATCCTGCACTGCTGCCTCTTTTTGTGTGTTTCAACTTATCAGAAAAGGTAAATATCAGGACTTGTTATGTATCAGAATTACTTGAAATATTGTACTACTACATTTTTTGCTATATCATCCACCACTAGGTTAAAGCAAAGCTAAAAGATCCATGCAAGCTGTTTTTTTCAGAAAGCTGAACACTTAATTTTTTACACTTGGAATAAACTTGTGATAAGATGACCATAATGATTTATTATTACAGTCGAATCTTTCACGTTTTAGCTAAATAGGTGTGATAAGAAGATGCAAGATCCAGGACTGTTTCTCAAAACAAGCCTTGGTTCATTGACTTTGCAAGTTTAGTTCTGAGACTGAGAACATGCTTTCTCTGTGTGGTTTTCAGGGCAAGGCGGCAGCTGCTCGCTCTCAGGGCAAACACAAGCAGAGAGTGTGGGTGAACATCTCTCTATCGGGAATCACCATTACGGACGAGAAGACAGGGGTGAGTCTCCTTTCTGCTGCCCATTACTGTACTCCCATTATCATGTCTCTTATAAAGAGATGTCTCTTGTTGTTTTCATTAATTGTGCTTAATTATGCTTGCTGACTCCTCTGCAGGCAGTGGTGCTGGAACATGCGGTGAATAAAATCTCCTTTATTGCTCGTGACGTGACTGATAATCGAGCATTTGGCTATGTGTGTGGCGCCGAGGGCCAGCACCAGTTCTTCGCCATAAAAACTGCACAGCAGGTCTGCTGGGTTTCTATTGAGCGTAGTTCTTTTCTCTCCCTCTCTCTCTCTTTCTCTCTGTCCCTCTCTCATCACCATATACACATACATGTTTGTTTTTAATACCTTATTAGGACATGGGGCCTGTTCTAATTATGTTGTTGCTTTTGTGAAGAAATCTTGTGTCTGTGAAATGGTATCTTTTCAGTTCTCATATGTAATATATAAATGTAAATACCTAAATGTATTAATAATGTGACCCATATGTATCTTGTACATATGTAACAGTATATGCCATATGTATTGTGTATATGTAAGTACCTATATAATAAGAATTTTCACTTTCACACCTACCTTGTTACAAAGTCATTGCTGTTTTTGATCATTTTTGTTCTGAAAATTAACAAAACACAGAGAAACATAAACACACACTAAGGCTGCGTACTAGTATTGCAATCATGTTCCTACATATTGTGATTGCAGTATATTAAAAATGTGTGACTCATGGTTAAATACTAATAATAATTTGAACAAATTTGAACAATTTTTTGGATTACATGAATACTGTCCTCTAAACACCCACCGCAACACTCTATTGTGATTGGTCTAGGTGTTCTCTGCACACAGTGTGAGTAGTTAGAGGACTTATTTGCATACTGCAGTCAGTAAATGGCTAATATTGTGATATTGATTTACAAATGATAAATGTTGTGCAGCCCCAACACATACACACACACACAAAAGTGTAACTCACACACATACACTGTTTCATTCTCTTCTCTCTTAACACACCACACACACACATACACACCTTTCAGGAAGTGCGGTGTTACAGTCTTTGTGTTTCCTTTTAGGCGGAGCCTCTTGTCATTGACCTGAAGGATCTCTTTCAGCTCATCTTCAACATGAAGAAAAAAGAAGCAGAGGGCTCAAAGAAGGTACAGGAAGTCTTTACAACAGAGTACTGCACGATTCTGACCCCAGCACTGCAGCATTCATAGTGTTCGAGGCTAATCACACCTCTGGCCTCAGGAAGTGATTTTTAAGACAGTGCCGGTGATAACATAACAGCTGTATTACAGTTATCTCTTAAAGTTGCATTACACTGCCCTGCAAAGTCAGAGAGCAACTACAGCAACAGAGAAATTGATGAAGGTTTGTTGCTGTCCAGCCAAATATATTTTAGATATTTATGTGATACCACACACAGATATAATTCAGTAAAGCAATAAGCTTATTACTTTCATAAAATGCAGACAAAATACTATATGATAAAACACCAATAAATATTATTTATGATAATCACAGTAAAGAGTTATTCCATCTAGCAATGAGCCTGTGGTTGCCAGACAACATAACAATCAAAGATTATTCCATGAAAAGTGCAATGATTCTTAATAACTTGTTGCATTAATACAGAATTAGTGTGTGGTCATACAGAACCATGCAAAAGTCAGAGACCACAGTCCTTTATTTGTTTAATTTCCAGTTTAAATCACCATGATATACTTTCAATTTCAGGAGATATTTCTGTGGAAATTAGATATAAAATAATTCACTTGCATAAGGAAGAAGAAAGTCAAATAAAAACAAGAAAAAGTTCAAAAGCTGTGAAAAGACAGAGAAAGTGATACTCTTAACAGCTGCCACCAAAAGTGTCATCATCAGATAAATAGTGCCTAAAGCTTTCATCTTTGAGAAAGAAGAGAAAATCAAGCTCCACTCTTGCTTGACGTCTGAAAAAAATCCATGTGTCCATCATTCCACTGTGAGAAGACAACACAACACTATGAAAGGATGTGTAGCTGTCAGGAAGCCCTTACTGAGAAAAGGAAATAGACAAAAAAAAAGAACATTTGTAGTGGAACACCAAAATGCAACCAACTTCTAAGACTGAACTTAGGAGGTATGGAAAAATCCCTGCAGATTTCTTTCTAAAACTGAAAGCATGTTTTTTGAGAGGAATGGTAGCTGGACTGAAAGCAAAGAGTGGACACACTGAATACTGAAAAAAAAAATTGATATCATATTTAGTTGTTGAGTGTGTAATTTCCATGTATTTTTCAGCTTATTTTCCTGATACTGAAAAATGCACATTTCTGTCTAAAATTAAATAAATAAAGGGTGGGCTCCGATTTTTGTACTGTACTATAAGGGTGAATATTGATTGAAGGCTTCAAATGTGGCCATTCTGGGGTTTTAGAGCTAGAACTATCCTTTTTTCTAATATAATTTAACTTATATTTAGCTGGACAACAACAGAACTTTGAAGCTGTTTTTCTAGTTTGACAATTGGTGAAGCCACTGCTGTTTGTCTTTGTAAGGCAGTATAGTTGTTTTAATATGTATCCAGAACATTTATTGTTTACACAATTCTAGTCCTAAAAGCTTAATTGGCATCAGATACTCCAGTCAACAGTCCAGTTTAGGGTCAGTTATGTTTATGGGATTCAATCATGGAATGACAGCATGAGAATGACTGAACCCACTTCTCCAAATTTAAAACGTATTTTTAAAAAACGTAACCATTCTGCTTTAAAATTTAGAGTTCAATGAACTCCTAATAGTAAGTTAACAGAACAGTAATCGTTGTGCTACACTTTATCAGATTATTATTTGAAGTTCAGTAAAATCTAAACATGATAGTAGCGTGGTTAACTAACTTTTTTATAAGGTAAAATATCTAACCAATTTTAGTTTTTATAGTGTAGTTTTGTAATACTTTTTTTTTGTTATGTCACCCAGATTTGAGTTAGCTTTGTCTATGTTCCCACTGGCATTTTGTTTAATCTCCACACACATTCTCTAGAGAAATGTTGGCCTGCTTTCATGCTAAATCTTCTTTCATTAACATATCCTGTTATCAAGTTTATCACAGTCAGACATCTGCTGTGTTTGTTCTGTTTGCTGTAGTCTTTTACAGCCTGTTATCTTTGCTATCTTGCTAATTAGATTCTGTCTCCTCCCCAGGAAGAACCAAATAAAGTAGTAGAGGTAAGTGTAGACATCTGCCGTAGTGGATAATATTACTTTTTAAAGAGGAATTCCACAGATCTCTCAAAATTCAACCGTTGATTTGAAATGGGACGTTGTAGAGAAACCTACCAAATTAGATTTCTTTACAGTGGTGGTGATGGAAACCAGGGGTCCCAATGTCTACAACATCTACAACATTTTATATACTGTCCAAAACTATTGATAATGGTAAAATGATATCCTTTCTTTGAGCATGATTTTCTTTCTTAAGACACCCTGCATGTACTTCTCCATTGTGACTTTTCAAAACATGTATGTTAGACCTAAACCTAAAACTATCACCATCACTGTGGTGTCTCAGTGACTCTAAGTTTCTCTAGAATGGTATGGTTTATATCAGACCTCTCTGAATGACTTTACATCTTAATGATTTCGTTTGAAAAATCAGTGCAATTCCCCTTTAAATTATTTATAATGACCTGTCTTATATTTATTATATTATTTATGATCACTTATTTGATATCTGATATCAAAGTATCTGAATAAATGCAATTGTGCTCCACAGAATGGCAGCGAAGCTTCACACACCAACGACAGAAAAGTGAGTATTTGCTGTTTTGCAGTTTTTGGGTTTCTGGGTATAGAATTACAACTATGTTACAATGATCTCTTGTACTGTTTAATGTGTATACAGTAGCTTAAAGTGGTTGTTCATCAAAAATATAATTGAACAATTTTCCACTTACCCCAAATGTGGTAAGATGTGTTCAAAGGACCTGTAGTTTTCACTGAAGCTAGGGGGCTAATGTAGCTGACAAGTAATGGACGCTTATACAGCTGTATGCAAAATGTTGGGCATCCCTGGTCAAATGACATGTTTTATTGATGTCCTACATGAAAATAAGTACTCATCCTCTAAAGAGAACTCACTCTTGTACACCTTAATGCACAATTACTGTTTTTTTTTTGCTGAAAGAAATGTGGCCTTTGCAAAAGTTGTGACATATTTTGTACTTTTTTTTCCAACTATTTTAGACTCAGCAAATAAATAGAAATATTCATATACGTGACATTTTTAAGTTTGTTCCCCGTAGAGGATGTGTTAACTTATTTTTATTTAGAAAATTAACAAAATTATTTAACACATTCTCTACAGGGAACAAACCTAAAAATGTCACTTATCTGCATAGTTTAATGAACAATTTGTATTAATTTTCCACTATTTTAGTCTTAGCAAACAAATAGAAATTGTTCACTAAAATATGCAGAAAGGTGACATATTTAAGTTTGTTGCCTGTAGAGAATGTGTTCACTTATTTTCACTTAGAAAATTAACAAAATTTGTCGTTTGACAGAGGGTGTTCAAACATTTGTATTCAACTGTACTTTATCAATTAGTATCATATAAACTGTGTGCCAGAATTACTTCACATTTGCTTCACACCTCATGGAATTCTCAAGTAACCCCCATTAGACTTGCTTATGGGGTTTCTGACACTGTATGACATACTGTTTTTTGTGAAAACAGACAAGGAGATGGATCTGTTTGAGGCTTTACGATGACTGCTACTGCTGTTTTTAGCTACACTACATACTGGTGTCCATTTCATCACTTCAATGTCTGATAATTATCACAGTGACCATTCTCAAGTTTACCGCGATTACTGTCTTGGGCCAAAACTATAATCAGCTCAAGCCATAGATTTATCTGCTCCTGTACTAACACCAAGACCACCCTCAAGACATTATGGTACCGACACAGACTCAGTGCTATGTCCCAGCCTTTCTTGCTAGGGTGGGATAAACTAATGATGTTCACAGACAGGAAGTCACAGTGACGTGCCAACTGCAGCCATTTAGACTCCTGTCTCTGTGAAAAACACGTCTATGCTCATTCTCTCTTAATGAATCACCTCCACTCTAAGTCCATTCCATCTTCCCTCAGTGCTGTAACTAACTTTTGTTACTTTGTAGTAGTAGTAGTGCTTGTATTAATCAAAGTCAGAGATTACTAGGTTACAAAACTGGAATAACCATAAGAACATTGGTTAAAATACAATACATACAACAAACATAAGACAGCATGCAGTCAGGAATAATTAATACTAAATAAACTATTACATTATTTTAAATTATAGAAGACACAGTACACTCAACAAGCATTTTATGCAAGGAATCATTTCATGACGACAGTGCCATTTGATGCACACACACAAGTGTGTTTCCATATTAACATTTATAAATTTAATATAAAACAATTCATTTTAAGTCCTCTGCAGAGCCCATCGAGCATAACTTGTCCACCCCGTGACATTACATAGACAAAGAAAACTTTTTTTTTTTTATTCACAGACAAGTCATGTAATTTACTGTTGACAATCTGACATTAAAGGCAGTTTTCTTGATAATGCATTGTGTGATGGCCAGGTTAGCCTGAAACATTCCACCCTGTCAAATATTCAGTGTAATGGGGCTGTTCTTCTTAGTTTTTTTGGCACAGAAAAATAAATATGGTTACTGGGGTGGAACCTAATTTATTTGTTATAGATCTATATATAATTGCAACTGCAACTATAAATCATAATATCCATTTGGCACTGATCTCTAATGTCTAATGTAATATCTCCAAGATAGCAGCACAGCTTTTTGATGTATGTTTATTGATGTCATTTGTCATTGCAATCGTTGGTTTCTCATCATTGTTTTTGGCATGCAATCTTCTGTTAAGTTGATTATTCCGTTTCTTGCAGGGCGTTGAACAGCTGGACTTGTTTGGAGACATGTCGACCCCGCCAGACTTACATTCTCCCTCGGTAAGGATGGATCCAAACAGCATCATCCAACCCAGCATGCTCCAGCTAAAGCTACGATAAATACAATGTTAGACATTTAAACACTCCAATGGTGTCCTACTCAGTTTGCCAATAAAAAAGGTTGTGAAAATGAATGAGATCATAATCAGTTTCTAGGCATGAAACTAGACGGATTAAGCCTTTTTTGCTTTAAAGGCACAAAAGGACTATTTCTGCCTTTTATCTGCTCTTCTCCTTTTAATCATGTGTTTACTCAAGTGCCGCTATCATATTTATTTTGATATGTAAAGAACATTATCTAACTAATATGAAAGGTTTTAGCTTTTAATTCAGTTCTTAATTAAAATGCTTGCTGGACAAAATCTCGTATCTACAAAACGGTAACTTTAACTTATATGGAAGTTAATGAAATAAGATTTTTTTCCATGTATTTCTAGACCATTTCTATTGGTCCATTCATCATGAAATTTCAACACTTTGTAAATGGCAGCTCATGATTTCAAATTCTGGAAAAGATTCAAGGTTTAATCTTGACGGTGATGATATGATATACGTCACTCATTTATTTCCCATATATTGTTACTTTAAACAAATTGGCAATAAGCCCCTAGTGATCAAAATTCTAATTGTGCAGACGGTTTGCTCAGAAACAGAAATCAGATAGCATCCAGCAATAAAGGCAGCATTATGCTTCTTTTATATAGTGATCGAAAACACATTACCAAGGAAAAAGCTCCAATTCCACCTACTGATACATTTTACTATGCCCAGTGTACCCATGCAACAACTACTCTGGGTACAGATTTTAATGGGACAAAGTCTCTGAAGATTTAGGTTTGTGTTAGATGAGAGAGAAAGTGAAATCATTCACCGGGCACTCTTTCCCAGGGCGACTCTGTGTTAAAAAATGTGTCCAAATGAGGAACATAATTGGTGCCATTGAGACTCAGCTCCAGCTTTCATATCGAGCTGTGGAGCCTTTGTCGTTGAGTCTCTGGTCTGCTCGCAAAGTGTCTGATTGACCTCTGCTTTAAGGAAATGAGGTCTCTGGGAATAAAGGAGCTTGGCTGAAGCCAAGAATAATAACCCATGCTGTAACTTACAAAAGGCCCGATTGTTGGTGGTGAGGAACTACTAAGCAGAGGCACATTCTGTCATACGAAGCCAGTTTTTCTCACCATGATTGATTGTAAGAACAAGAAGAATAAGTGCTTAAAGGGTCTGGGGGTCTTTTTTAAGTTTCAGTATGGACTACACAGAAGAAACAGTATGGTGCTATAAAGTGGAATGTTTCCCTTCATATTGAGATGGAACTAAAGTATTATGTTAATAACAACCTGGGACTTGGTATTTGTTGTTGTAGCCTGTTTTAAGGGTTGTCCTTGTTATTCTTTTTCTCCTGGTTTTGATAAAGTGTTTGTTTTTCCATTTAAATGCAATAACTATGAGAGTTCACGCTCAGGTAATGTCAAAATATTCACAGTGTCTGTTCACAGTTGTAAAATTCAGCCATTAAAATCCAGTCACAACTGGATATGAGTTTTATGGAGGCATCCTCATTGGTCAGTTGACATAGCATGTCAATGTCAGTGGTTTGAAGTCAAGGAGTGAACGTTTTTTCTCATCTCACTGCATGTTTCCATTGCATTGCTATGCCTTCTCAAAACACATAGTACATCCATGCATTTTCCAGTAGCCATTCTGCTTGTTATATTACACATAGGGTTGTCAGTCCACAGCTATGGAAAAGTGGAGCAAAAATTTGATGTGTCCCCCATCTATGTTTTGAAAGCATTAAAAATGAGATTTTCCCACAGCTGCTGACTAGCATTGGCACTGTTCCAATAGTCAGCTTCAGTATCGGGCTGATAGAGACAAAAAATGCTGGATAAAATAAATGAGAATGTAACCTGACTGGCCTGAGTTATCACAAAATAGCTTGTAGCAAAACATAATGTGAAGTGAAGTAAAGAAAGTCATGACAACAACAAAAGTCACAAGCCTAGTATTAGCATAAGAAAATGAAGTAGCTTGCTAAAGTGGGATCCAAAAGTCTGATACAGCATTAAAAATACTAGGATTTTTTTATTTAGACCTGGAAATAAACAACAGACAGTTTTAGTATTTTGAAAATATTGAAACAAAGGAAAGTTCTGACAAGTAAAATGAAGAAGAATAAATATTAAAGATTCTGCACTGTTCCTAGGTCACTATTCAAATTCAAACAAATTCATGACCTTGTTGATCATGATAAAGCCTTTGTACAAAAAGTCTTATCTCTGCCATTAAAGCACATGTTGAGATGACTCTCAGCTGGATTTGATTTACTCATCAGAGGCTTTTGCACAGACTTGTGGGGCTAAATGGGCTCAAAATGACCTAATACAAAAAAACTTGAAATGTATGTAAATAATTTAAAGATTCTAGATTTCATTCAAATTGTTGTGCTGATAATATAATTTGTAATTTAAAACTTTGTTTTAAATTAGAAAAGAATGCAAAATAGTTCATTAGTGGTCTCAGACTTATGGACCCCACTGTATCAGTTGGCTGATATTATTGGCTAAAACTATTGGAATCAGTTTAATTTTTGACCATATAAAATTAATATAAAAATCTGTATTGATCAGGCCTTAATCTCTACTCCTTAATGAGTAATATTGTGGTCCCATATTGTGTGTTACATAATAAACAACATGGTCATGTGAATAAGGTGAATTGCTGATGTAACTAATGAATGTTTTGTCTTCTCTCAGGAATCTGAGGACATCCTCTTATTGGATCTGTCCACTGAGATAGACAGCAACCAGAACTGTGTGAAGGGCAATCCCTTTACCAGCTCCTCCTCTTCCTCTGCCCTCAGTGTCCAGTCCAGCCTCTCGCCTGAAAACCCCTTCTCCTCCCAGCTCAGCTTCTTCCCCACCCCCAGCCATGATCCCTTCAGCGACGACCCCTTCTCCAAAAGCGACAACCAATCAGCGACTGCTGCGGTCAATCACAGCTCCAGTCACTTTTTCAATGGCGGACCCAAGAACGGCGACTCCGACTACCTGGCCCAGCAGTTCGACCAGCTCTCCAACAGGACAGTCATCCAGGCGCTAAGTAACGGCCAATGGCCACTAGATGGCAGAGCAGCAGACATGGGTGCCTGGACTCAGAATGACATACCAGTCAGAGAGCAGAACGGCCACAATGGAAAGGTAACACCAAACCCATTTTTGGAGGCTGCTGAGAAGAACCAGCCAGTTCAGAATGGAGTGAAGCTTGAGAACGGAAGCAAGCCAGAGCCGGCTGTCAAGCAGGCCAAAGATTCGGTCATCATAAGCCCACCTCCGCTCAACACAAAAGCTGGCCGGGGAAGGAGGGCTATGAAGGTGAGGATGAATTTGTGGGTGATGCCACAAAAATATTGTGTCAGAATAATTGAAAGATGTTTTCATAATATACAAAATGTCTGTATATATATATATATATATATATATATATATATATATGCACATACACATAATGCACTAGTAGTGCCACATATCAAAAAAGCTATCAAAATGTGTTTAATCCAGTTAAACAGGACTAATTGTGTTCTCTGTTTAATGAAACATGGAGTTCTTTAAGTACTGCCTATATTCATGATATGCTCAGAAAAAGTATATTATCACATTAAAAAATATACCATAATGAAACATATCACAATCACAATAAAATACTGTCATATTGCCCACCTCTAACGCGGTCATATGTGTCTGTATGGAGTATTTTACAGCGGCTCTGAACATGGCTCAGCCTGTCAGATTTTAGAAGTGGCAGCTGTGCATTTCATAACTAGTGTTTTCAAGTTGACAACAATGGGGTTTTTATGCAATAGTTGAAGGTGACAAAGTTCAATATTAACGTCTTTCGGGATCGTACACTATATAATCCCAAAAGACGATAATTGTATAAAACTCTTTAAGCCAGCGCTACAAATGAAAGGTTTTGTTACATGCAAGGAGGCACTGGTGAGTGCAGGAAGCTCTGGCTCCTCTGGAAGCTTGAGAGAGTTCTTGTCATCCAGTCACAGTTACAGTAGCTTGAAACTTACAGAAAATGCTGTGCTTCTTACATAGTGTTCTAATGACTTGACTCTTTTTTTAATGCTTCAGTGAATGACAAAAAGTAGGTAAGAACACATTCTTTGACACATTGAACTCTTTATTTGGCTTTCCAAGCTTGAAAGAATAGTTGGGTAAAAAATTTAATTTACATAATTTTCCTCCTAACCCAAATGTAGTCAGTCAGCCAAGACACAATTGGTGCCTAAAAGTTTGGTATCACTTTATTTGAACTTACTAATGTCTATCACTTTAGTATGAGGCCCCTTATGTAAATACGGTATCACCAGAAATGTCTTGGCTATCAGCTAAATTTGGGGTAAGGGGAAAATTAGGTAAATTAGCTTTTATTTTCAGTGTTTGATGCTTTACACAGGCAGTCAATTCATGCACAATCATAACAGTTTTCTCTCTCCTCTTCAGTCCCCAACGAATGAAAAAGCTGGAGCGGATCCGTTCACTTCACCCAACCAGTCGGAATCGCCATCTCCTCCTCAGCCAGACAGCACCCCAGCCAACTCTGTCCCTTTTTTCAACAAGAGCCCCAGCAGCTCCTCAGACACCCTCACAGGCCTTGGTAAAATTCTGAGAATCAGAAGAGATTAATCCTTTGACCTTTATGTGAATATTTTGACCTTTCTAACACTTCAGAAATGGCATTAAAATGTCAGCATTTGGCATTCAGATGCAATGGAGCGTTGTGTCTGAATGCATAATTTATATCACTAGCATCACCTTCTATCTTGTGTGGTGTCTAATGCTTTATGATGTCCTAGAGTGTAATAGTCTGCTTTAGTTTATTTTTATTGTGTTGGAATGTGAATATTACAGTGTAATAGTATAAAATAGTTTGAAAAATGTTTAAGAATTCATAAAAAAAAAATCTTATTACAACGTTTGCCTCTTACCCCAAATGTAGTCAGTCAGCCAAGACATGTTTGGTACCCAAAATTTGCTTCTTTAGTTTCCCGCTAGGCTGTGAGTCAAATGTAACCCCAAGAAACTGGCCTTTCCTTCCACTCTCTTTTCTCCCATAACTCGTTAACTCATTACAGTGTGGTGTCTGCTCCACCAAAAATAAACTGGACTAATTTACCTCTCTCACTCTCACTTGCCGCCACTCTGTACATAGGAGATGGAATTGGTGTATTTTGAACTGTTTGCATGTGTTTATTTGTGCCATCTCGGTGTAATGGTAATGACAAAGCTTTCAACCGCTATAGCTGATTGCCCACTACTGCTACTGTTGATACATATCTTTAAATGCTTAACATACTGGGGCGATCTTAACAGGTAACAAAAAAAAAAAAGATCTGCTGCAACCTTTTCACCAACCCAACACATCCCTTTTATCATCCATGGTGTCATTCAAACTCCAGAGCTATTATGAATGCAGCTAACATTATAACAGCAAGAGAGAGATTGACAAAGGGTGTAAGAGTGTCTGCAACATAAAAAAAATCACTCATTAGAAAACAGACCCAAGCCTGATCCAAGCCTGATGTTGAATGTGAAAAATCTGCCCCATAACAAGATATTTCATCAGTAGCAGACCTCTATGACATCAGCTTTTACTATTACTTGCTAGGTACATCAGCCTCCAAGAAACAAGCTTCAGATGACAAACATGACTTGATTACATTTGGGGTAAGGGGTATTTTAATTTTTGGCCTTTAAAACAGTCTGCTCCTAAATCAGAACACACAACATACGTCATTTTACAAGAGATACAACAGTATCTGTTGTAAAATGATCTCTTGTAAAATGCAGGCAGGGTTATGTTACCTCCCTTAAAAACGTGTTTTCTCTCTACTTTAGGAGGGTTGTCTATTGGACCCTCGTCTTCTGCCTCCACTCCTGGTGCAGCCCCATGGAGCCAGCCCCTCCCATCCATCTTGCCCTGCAACAACAGCGTCTCCCAGCCTTTTGCTCAGCCTCCGGCCTTCTCCACCTCTCCAGTACCCAACTGGGGAAGCAACTCTGGAGTTTTTGGGACCTCCCCCACCCAGCAACTTCCATCCTGGGGCCAGGCCACCACTCCTGTTTCTAATGGATCCTGGGCCCAGAACTCCACCCTGGGGAACCCCTTCCAGACCAGCATCTTTCCTCCATCTTCAAGCCTAATTGCTGGGAGTCAGCAAAGCTCCAGCCCTCCTCCACAGATCCCACCTCGTACAGCACCTGCTAAAGAGCCCCCTAAGATTGACAGTAATGCCTTTGTAGACTTGGATCCCTTAGGAGAGAGGGAGAAGAGGGATATCAAGGATATGTTCAAGGATTTCCAAATGGCTAAACCACCCAATGCTCCATCTAAAAATGGTGAGAGGATGGGATTCTTGTTCAAAGTAGATTCTCTCACATTCTGTTTTGGTGTCTTTAATTTGCCTTGGTTTGCATGTGTGTAACTACGGTCATCCTTTTTAATGACCAGTGTTGTTTAATACAGTGTCTTGTGTTTACAGAGCCGCTAAAAGTAGGTGGCCAGAACCTTTTTGATAACCCTTTCGGAGCTTTTGGAGCACCAACACCCGCTACAGTAAGTATTCTTTTCTCTGTAAGAATTATAGTTGTAATATATACTATATTTGACCAAATTTAGATTCATTATTTTGGTACATATGTACTTTACACTCCCCATCTTGTTTTTCATAAACAGTTTCATGCCTGTGCTGAATTTTACAGACTGCTCCTGCTATCAAGGCCATAGGATCAGATCCCTTTAGAGACCCATTTGGAAACCCCTTTGCATGATGGCCGTTCATGTCCATAGGCCTGAAAGGCTCAAGTAAGTCAAAGAAAGCTGAGAGAACCTTACTTCACCCAAACACTGATCATGTGGTATGCAGCTAGTTACCTAGTTTCAGAAAGAAGTGATACCTTGATTTCTCATAATTTGCATTGTGATGTTCATTCTCCATCAGTGAGGGTTTAGGTGCCAAAACAAATGATTAATCATAATTCATTTTTACATGACCATTTATCCCTTAAAAAAATCAATTGTCTGTTTTTGTTACTGTACCTTTAAGGCTGATATATAAATGAGGCCTAATCTGATTGGCTGCCCTAAATTATGCCTCATTCAGAAAGAACACTTGAAACACTCTATATAACTTCAGCATTAATGGCTAGGGTTAAACGGCTATAGGCTGATCAGACAGATGGGACTGTGCTTAGGTTATAGAAGGGTGTAATAAAACTTTGGGCCATCAGAGGGGTTCAGATTAGCTTTTTCTGATGTAAGAATCTTGGCTGTTCTCCTCCTAATGTTATGCCTTTGATTTTCACAGGGGCTCCCACTGAAACACAAGCTTTCCATACAAAAGTGCAACCAGTTCCAGAGCAGATCTCCAAGCCCTGATGTCACTTTCATCCATTAGTTCCCAAACTGCCAAAGTTCCATGGAGCCCTTCTCCTTTACCGTACCCTGTATTCACTCTACACAAACACAGCAAAGTAGCATACAGTCTGAGATGAACCTTCATGACCACATCTTCATGACCACATCAGCCTAAAAAGTGTAACCTTACATGTACGCTGTCATGACTGGCAATGGCAGTTGCTTTGGATTACCTGGCACTACACCAGTGGTTGTGGTGGCCACTGCCAAAAAAAGCACAAAGTCAACCAGAGGAGACAAATGAAGTTCTCATTGCACAATTAATAGTAATGGAAGAAAACTTTCTTTGAAGATGACTGGACATACAAGAGCATGCCTTAGATCACTCTTTTGTTCTTCATTGCAGTATTATTCCTTGTGTCTTTAATTTCCTTTTATGCTTTTTCCTTTCAAGATGCTTGATCAGTTTACATTTATCGTAGATTGCGCCTGATTGGTCGCAGTGGCATTTTATGACAAACTTATTTAGTGGTATAGAAGCAGCATTGCCTCTTATCAGTTATGAGAATTAAATGATACTTGCTTTTCATTAGCCAGTCACAAACTGCTTGGTTCCCCAATGGATTATATATATATAATAGCAAACTTCTGAATACCAGCTGACATGATTAGTTTTGATGATGGACTCTGGACAGACAAATAACGTCACTCCTATGGAGGTGGTGGGTAAATGGACAAGCTTTTCCTGGCAGTCTGCTTTATATTGGTGACGTGCATTAAAATAACTGTTCAAAAGTTTGGAACCATATTCATGATTTTTGTTATTTTACGTACAATATGATTAGGTTGGATTTAAAGGGGGATGCTATTACTTTTTTCAAAATTCTGCTTAATGCAACAGTTGAGATGTAAGCAAAGTCAGAGTGAAAAGGTGCATTGTAGAAAAACTTACAAACTCAGATTTCACAGTGGTGATAATAGTATCCAGGATTCACATTTTATTCATAGTCTAAAATGAACAGTGAAGCTACACGTGTCTTATTAGTTTTACATGTAATGTTGATACTGGTAAAACAGTAGCAAATCCAAGATATTAAGCTTTCTCTTGGTACGATTATGCCTTACAAAATGTACTTCTTCACTACGAATGGATTTTAAAAGATAAATTTTAAGTCAAAAACTATAATAAAACAGTGTCTCAGGCATCAGACAATGTAGTTGCAACTGTTTTGTGTAATAACTTTCTTTGAAGGAGCTTTTAGAGGCATTAAACTCTTCAGATGTCTGGTTCCTATCACCACCACAACAATTCTGATTCTGTAAGTTTAACTAGAATGGCACATTTTTCAAATCAAACCACTCTGAATGACTTCATTGCATCTTAACTATTTAGTTTGGAATTTAAAAAAGGTGGAATTCCTGTTTCAGTATTATGAACTAAACTCCAGTGTGTATTTTTAGATGTTTTATTCAATATTTTGGAAAAAAAAACATAATTATTTTAAAAAAATATTTAATTAAGTTACCTGCCTCAAGATTTGCCCAACACCTTTGAAATGTAAGGCATTCTGGATGTCAGTTTTCTAAAAAATGTCATTAATTTTGTCAGTCATTATAGAATCATCGACCGCAGTGTTTCTCAACCTTGGTCCTGGAGGCTGCTCTGCACATTGTGCTGCTTTCTCTGCTTTATCACACTCACTTTAACCAATAATGGGCTGTTAAAGAGCTGATTAGTTGGATCCGGTGTGTTGGGAGCAGGGAGAACACTAAAACGTGTGGGGCAGTGGACCTCCAGGACCAGGGTTGATAAATGCTGACCTACTGCTCATCATTCTGGACACATCCAGGCTTGACGGGAAGACTAAATCGTAAGTGGGGCATTTGAAAACATTGAGGGGGTATCCATGTACCACAAGTCACATATTGTTCAGGAGAGCCACATTTACAGCAATTCACCAGAGGTCACCCCATTTAGGAAATGTGCTCTCTTCTCACAACATATAGCGCATCCCTATAATGCAGCCAATACATCTTATTTTTTTTCACAGCTTCCTCCTTATTGTTTGAGACCTGCGAAGTGATACTAGAATCATTTTATCTGGAACCATCTATCAGAATCATTGATTCCAAGCTATTGAATGGTCATACACAGCATCTCAGCAGTCTTGATGGCATCTGTTCCTGCTGTCCTTTGAACTTGATCCTTTGCTCTGTTGCTCATATTCCTCTCCTTACTCAGTTACTAAGCATTATCGAGCTTAAGAGCTCTCTCTCTGTATCTCTATTCAGATGTGTTAATTTGTTTTGCATGGACACTGATCGGCCTGAACCGTTCAGCTAGTACACGAGAACATCGCTGACCACTTGATGGCATTTTGCTGCACTCTTACTTTTTCACCATGTTACACCGTCCATCAAATTAAGTACAGGAAAATGTTTTCAGCACTATGAGGTGTACAGATTGAGACTTTCACTAACCGCTGATGCGTGTTCACCTCAAAGACTCTCAAGAGTTGAAGGATAAAATGAAAAGACGATCCGCCTGTACTGTACTGGAAGTTGAAGCGAGCCTTGTCATAAAAGAGCTATGTGTGTTTGGAACTGTGTGTACTGTATTTCTGTGTACATATATAAATATATCTACTCTATTGTGCACTATGCCATTTATCGTGGATGTTGTATAACTGAAGTCAATCGAAACTGTAGTTGTTGCAATAAACTGGAATTTCAGTTAGTGGGATGGGCTCAAAAAAGTGTCCTATTTATCTGTAATACAGTATTTGAGTATATTCAAGTATGCCTTAAAATAAAGCAATGACTGGCTCGTCACTGAAGGTCTGTGTGTCAGCAATTTTCACATTTTCCATGTACATTCCTTTTTTTTTACTAGTCACACTTCATTAATTGGTGTTCTGAATGGTCACTTTAGTGCATCCGTGACATCAGTGAGTTGGTGAGTTGAGCAAAAGTGTAAAATGGTAAAGTGGGATGAATAAGCTTCATGCTGCATTGCTCTTTGAACGACAGGAGCCAATCAAATATAGCTATCATCAGGGGTGGACAAAGTAAAATTCTTTTTGGGACACTTGCTTTCAGTTTTTCAAAGAAATCTGCAGGGATTTTTTCGAGCCCCTCCAAACTTCAGTCTTTGAAGTTGGAAACATTGAGGTCTGGATTCTGGGGTGGTCAGTCCATTGTTCTGAGAACACCAGCAACTTTCTTGTTTGATTTTTTCATATATACACCAATGAGGCATAACATTATGACCTTGTTTTACGCTCATTGTCCATTTTATCAGCTCCACTTACTGTATAGGAGCACTTTGTAGTTCTACAATGACAGACTGTAGTCCATCTGTTTCTCTGCATATGTTGTTAGCCCCCTTTTACCCTGTTGTTCAGTGGTCAGGACTCCCATGGACCCTCACAGAGCAGGTACTATTTGGGTGATGGATCATTCTCAGCACTGCAGGAACACTGACATGGTGGTGGTGTGTTAGTGTGTGTTGTGCTGGTCTGAGTGGATCAGACACAGCAGTGCTGCTGGAGTTTTTAAACACCTCAGTGTCACTGCTGGACTGAGAATAGTCCACCAACCAAAAATATCCAGCCAACAGTGTCCTTTGGGCAGCGTCCTGTGACCACTGATGAAGGACTAGAGGATGACCAACACAAACTGTGCAGCAGCAGATGAGCTATCGTCTCTGACTTTACATCTACAAGGTGGACTGACAAGGTAGGAGTGTCTAATAGAGTGGACAGTGAGTGGACACAGTGTTTAAAAACTCCAGCAGCACTGCTGTGTCTGATCCACTCGTACCAGCACAACCCACACTAACACACCACCACCACGTCAGTGTTACTGCAGTGCTGAGAATGATCCTCCACCCAAATAGTACCTGCTCTGTGAGGGTCCATGGGAGTCCTGACCACTGAACAACAGGGTAAAAGGGGGCTAACAAAGCATGCAGAGAAACAGATGGACTACAGTCTGTAATTGTAGAACTACAAAGTGCACCTATATAGTAAATGGAGCTGATATAATAGACAATGAGCGTAGAAACAAGGAGGTGGTCATAATGTTACGCCTGATCAGTGTATATTCTATATAGTATGTTAAGCTTTGGCTCACTAGACCTTAAATGTAATGCATAAATGTAATGCAGTTCTCTTTGCCACCGCCAGACGGTGATACATTACTATAATCTCTCATGCTGAAATACTCGAGTTACGTTCACGTTGACTACCAGTATTTCATGATCATCTGTTCACCGTAAACGGTTCTTCCACTGAAAATGCACGAGAAATAGCAAGTCGTATAAAACATTTGTACATAAATAAATCGCCTGCCTTGCTTTCGTGAGGAAATACTGACTCGATATATTTATTTTAAACATATTTTATTTGTTTAACATTTATTTTATTGCTTTTAAATGAATTTAATCTATAATTAAAAAAATTCAAAATAGACTGTGTCTCTCCTTCATAACCCAGTAGGCTGACTTATCCCTCAGACTGGTCAGAGCGACAGGACCGCTGGAGAAAGGCTCGCCTGTCAGCTCACATGAGCGGAGTGTGTTGATAACAGCCGGTACACGTGCGTCAATCAGTCCTCGCCGACTGGCTGGAGTCGCTGCAACTGCAGACGGCAAATGTAGTTTTTTCCGCCTCGGTGAAGCTGGAGAAAGGAAAGCGCTAAGACTTCATTACCCATAATCCCCGGCGGTGTGGCGTTCCTTACTCCGGCGTGGTCGCTCACTCGCAGACCGGCCGGTGTGTGAGAGTGTGGGCAGAAATGTGACTGCGGGCGTCTTTCACTGCATTTCATCACTGACAACAGCTGAAGTGAGTCTAACGTTTTCTTGCTGCCGTGCTTTCTCGCGTTTTCGCGCCAGTCTTTATTTTGTTCAGGCGTTTCTGCGGCGTGTCATCAGCTCTGCTGTCTCAGCAGCTGCGAGCTGAATCAGTTTGCTGGAGAAGGTCCACTGCATGTCATTTGCACTAACTTGCCTTATTAGTCCAGTTAAAGGAGGTGCTTTAAACTGAGGGCTACTCTGAATGTGTCTCTTTAGCTGTCAGCTTTCCTCTTAACCTTATTACAGCTCAATTCTCTGGTTTCTCACGTGAATTTGACAGTTTGGTGAAACCTTACCACACCATGTCCCAGAGGTCACTGGGGTTCAGCCCACGTGTTACCTGTTCAATAGAGCTTACTGGTCTTATCTTCTTAAAGTGGTACTTTAGAGTTGCAGTTAAAGAGTCTAGAAGCCCATGCAGACATGATAGTCTGGACTGTCTAACATGGTCTGCTTACTCCCATCTTAAAGCGCCCATAGCATGGAAAACTTTTCTCTTACTTTTTTGAGTTTGATGTAGTGTGGAAACATGGTCAAAGTTTCAGCACATACTGTTTATTCCCCGGTCCATACAGTAAACTAAGCTGTAAAATTGTTTTTGAGTTCATTGTTTTTGTGATGTCACAAAAACTAGCCTATTTACATATATCCGCCTATTCTGCCTACAGTAGTTTAGCTCCGCCCGTTCATACAGAGGTTGTATGGAGCATTTCAGCCTAATTTAACCAACTGCTATTTGAGTGAGGTGCAATACAAGCCAACCAATCAGAACAGAATGTACATATCACTTAAAGGCACAGTAATGAGAACAGAAAATAGTAAAATATAGAAAATGTAACATACTCACAAATTGACCTTAAAATACAAGAAAAATGTAGAACTTGAAGCTAATTTAGTAGTTATAAGAGTTGGACAGTGATTGTGTAGAAGAGCTGTTTTGCATATTTGCAAAGAATTTCCTTCATTTCTTCAGGATGATGCGAAGAGCAAGAATCAGTGTTAAGCCTAACTTCAGGCCTGGAGGTCGAAGCCTTCCAGCTGGACAGCAGCCCTCACAAACTCCTGCAGATGGAAACAACACCCCGCCCACAGTCACAGCTGAAGAAGCGGTCAGACCATCACCCTCTCCCCAGCGAAAGCCACCAGTGGAAGAGCCTGCAGAGGCAGTGGGTGTTGAAAATGCCCCCAACTCGCCTTCAGAGAAAACCTCAGCTGATGTGTAAGTGCTTCTTGCCTGCTGATGACCGTTCAGTCTGTACTTTTATTTAAAGCATGGGAACGTTTGACCACGGCCCAGTTCATCCCTGGCATTAGCATCCATCTCAAGCAGTCAGATCAGAAGTGTGCAGTGAGTTATAAAGTCAATTATGCCGGACATTTTTCTGTGTCTCGAATGTGTCTGCAGTAACCGCTCGCTACTTCTGTTATCAGACAAAAATGTCCAAGGTGGCTAGGTAGTGATAAAATGAAAACTGATGGCAGGATTTATTGTAAATGTGACATAATAGTGACAGTCAATATGCCACAATCAAATGCTGGCAAGGTAAATTAAGGTCAGCATTTCTCGCTGCCCATGTGCTCAGATATGTCCTCATCCTCCTTAAGTAGTTTTTTCATTCATGTCGTTTTAGGACCACCTTGTTTTTAGCAGTTCTTGTGTTCTTTAAAAGTATTTTAAAACTGTTTCATTCATTTTTCAACTCAAAAAAACAGCAATAAACTCTTTTAGAGTACTGCATGTTGTGTCAGCCAGTACTAAATTCTCACATTGGTGGTGAATTCGATGTGCTAATTTCTCAAGGCTGATTTTAGCTTCATTTAAACTTCCTTTTCACCTTAAATGATGCAGCTGCTACATACTAGCACACGTACAGGCGTTGGATTGTAGCTGCTACATCACTGAAAATGGCACAAGGCATGAGAATAAGAAGTTAACTTCAGCTTCATCTAATCTTTATCCACTGTACGAGACATACTATCAGCAAACCAGGGCTGGGCCAGTTGAGGTGGGGGCAGCTAGTTTAACCCCTAAATTACCACAAATATACGCTCAGATGTACAGTTTGTAGTTGGTCTGAGCATATATGTTTTAGTTTATACATTAGCTCACAGTATCCAGCCCAAAACACTAGTGGCCCACCAGGGAATTCAGCCAACTCTCCCGAGTACCCACTCTGGCATTGTGCAGTTGATTAGGCCGTCTTTTCCTTGCTGTCTGGGACACATTAGTGTTCACACTATCAGTGTATGAGGTCGTATGCATCCTAAGCCTCCTGTTAAGGTGCTTTGAGTGATCAGATTACAGTGTGTCTTCAGGGTACATTGGACCCTGTTCACACCTTACTTATCACTGTCCATTTGTGATTGGACCACCCAAGATGCATATTAATGTTAGGTGTAAATGGGGCCTATAATTCGACATCAGGAGAGCTATCTGCCATTATTTCCTTAAGCAAAGCACTGAACCCCAAGTTGTTCCTCAAATCTAATTTATTCTAATCTAACTTAATTCCAGTTTTCTCCTTATCCTTAATATAGCTAATTACTGAAGACATATCTGAAGTCTGAAGTTTGCTATCTTAGTTTAGCACTGTAGCTACGAGGCTAAAGTTAGCATCAGGCAAATTCTAAGTGTTATGTAATGTCAAATAGACTTGCTTTTATGGCTTCTGACACTGTATGAAGACTGTTTAATTGTATAAAACTGTAAAAATAGTCAAAATTCAGGCTGCTACTACTGTTTTCAGCAACGCAACATAGTTTTGTCAGATTTCATAAATAGCATCTATAAAATTATATAGATAAGTTTGTGATATAGTGTCAGAAATCTGCATAATCTTGCTGTCAGGGTAAAATCTCACATCTCCAAAATGATAGTTTTACAAGAGAAGTAAAGCATTCTTAACTTTTAATGGCAGTAAATGGAACAAATGTTTCCAAGGAATTTTGAGTTAGCTACATTAGCCTCATTGCACCAATACAAAACTAAAGAAGCAATTTTTGGGCTACAATCATGTCTTGGCTAATGTAAAACTGGCACACTGAACATCCTGTGGATATTATTCTTTGCTCTATATTTGATGTAGAAATAATGGAGCACGCTCAAGCTGCACCACCACCCCAGCGGCTGTTCCACAGAGAAGGGTGAGGGTCTCGGCCACCCCAAAACTTGTTGGTCCTAAAGCCAATTCCACACCTCAACAGTCCACCAGAAAGCCTCGATCTGTGCCATCAAAATTACCCAAAGAGGAAGCTTCTGGCTCTGTAAACTCTGTCAGTCTCTCTGAATCCACCATATCAAGCTCCAAAACCCCCACAGAAGAAACCAGACAGTCTTCTGCATCACATACACCGTCTTCCCCATGTGTTCCTTCAGCCTCTGGCCTTTCCAAGCCTCCAATCCATGAGAAGAAGTCAACGGAGGACTCGCCACCATCACCACAGCCTGGACAAGTGCCTCAGCAACCTGTCTCATGAGCTAGAACCTCATAAACGTCCTACATCAGAATCAGAAATGCCTTCAAGCTATGTGAAACTATCCCGTTTTGATGAGCCAGGGTCTCAACAGAAGGGGGCTGAAATGTTATCGGACAAGGAGAAGATCCTGAGAGCCCTCAAATTGAAGGCACTGATGAAAATTGAACGGAGGAAAGATATTAAGGTGAGGTCAGCCTTTGAGATCTGTTTTTTCCAGTTTGTTCTAGAAGTCGCAAAGCCTGCTATTGTTTTAATGTTCATATGTTCTGAGAAAATCAGTTGGAGCATTAAGCCATGACGGGGCAGTGCATTACAGTGGTTTTCTCACAGTTAAGGCATGTGGTTTAAACTAGGGGTCTGCTACCCAACCACAGTCCAACAGGGCCTGACAGAATATCACCTTTCTTGGTAGGGGTCTCATTTATCAACCGCATATGTGCAGAGTTTTGTGTGTAAACCTCACAGGCACAGTTTTATGCACTGAAAGTGATTTAGTATTGTGTTAATTTTGGCTTTTCACAGTTTTTCTTTCTGTCAGAATTGGATGTAAACAAGGCTTGGCTTGAATTTGTTTTCTAATGATTGATTTCTTATGTAGTAGATTTAGTAAAATATGTCTGTACATTTTGCACACATTTCTCCTTTGTGAGTGCAGTCTCTACTGTAGTCTGGCATCCCTGCAACAAAGCCAGTCTTACTAGCTGTTGGTTGGATGGATGAAATAAAAAGGCAAGGATAGTTTATTTACATAGCACCTTTAATGCACTGCTGTCAAAGTGCTTTACAAACGAGAAAATAAAATTAAAAGTTAAATTCATATAAAAAAGTGCTGTTACAGAGGAAAAGGGCTAGGAACGCTAACAGTGAGTGCGTTTACATGCCACTTAATAATCAGATCACTGCAGAAAATCAGATTTTGTCAGTAATCCGATCAACACGTTTACATGCACTTGTGTAATCAGATAATGGGAAACTCTGGGTCTACATGAGTCAGGAAGTAATCAGATTTCTGCTTTACAACCAGCCAATAAACACACAGATGACAACATGATGTTAACGTAATGTAAATCTCAAACTTCTTCTTTTTTTTTTTTAAACATCGCGCCACTTTACCTGAAACTATGAACATACATCATCTAGAAGATGAAGAATATTTAAATCTTTAATTTTGTCAAGCATGTAGTTGGTTTCAGCGTCGCTCCAGAAGTGTTTTGCTGCCATCTTGCGGCAATGCTGCTCGCTTATTTCCAGTGCCACGGTCAGTTTTCGCACATGTGCAGACTGAGAAATCAGACAGAAATCCGAGTAAGAGTAAACATGAACTGAGAAATCTGATTACTGAGCTAAAATCCTGCTCTCTTTATCGGATTTCTAGACCTTACTCCGATTTAAGAGATCAGAGTATGCTGTTTAGATAACCATTTGAATAATCAGATAACTGCAGAAATCCTATTATGATCACATTATTGAGTGCATGTAAACACACTCAGTGTGCTGCTCATATAGGAACGTTTTGGGCCTAGATTTAAACGTGTGTAGTATCAGGGCCCTTCCAACGCTCTCTGTCAACTGGTTCCATTTAAGAGCAGCATAGTTGCCAAACTCTGCTTCTCCATGTCTGGTCTTAACCTTCGGCAGCCGTGAGTTCTGCTCGGCTCATATTGCTGCATCAAATAAATATGCTGGTCCAGCACCTTTGAGTGATTTTATAGACTAGTAAGAGTATCTTGAAGTCTATTTTGTAACAGACAGACACAGACAAGAAGAAAGCTCACTAAAGGGAAGCTGGGTCAGGGACATTATTGTTACCATAACATTACAGTTACCTCAGATAAAAACACACTGGTCATGTACAGTGTAGAGTCTGTGATAGTATTTTGAGCGGTAACAGTAGGAGGACTGGCACATCGTCTCTTTAATGACTAATTTACCGTGGATGCAGCCATTCACAGCAGCTACCAGCCAGAAGCAAATGTTGATGTGACTTCCTTGCAGTTAAGTCAGTGTTGGCTACAGCAAAAAAAAGATTAATTGATTGGTTTGATAATCGATCTCTACAAGTAGGTTTCATATTTAACAGTGTCTGTTGGCTTGGTTGGATCAGGTGTTTTTGCTAAGTTGTGAAGTCAAGGAAGGTTTTTCTTGGAACATACAAGGAGTTTTTTTTCGTTCCGTTTCATGCTTTAGAACGGGAAGAGGGAGGTTAGACGGAAGCCAGAATACACTCCTATGGACCGCAGTAAGATGACCATGAGGGACCTCATATACTACCTACCAAACACCAGCCCCATGCGGTAAGATGTTCTAATGTTTTCTTCCAATTTTTGGATGTGCTATACAGTTAATTCCTGAACTTCTAATATTATGTTGCACAAAAAAAGAAATCTGTTCACCCTTGCATGGTAGTGTAATATGCATAAATACACAGTATGTATTAAATCATCTGGCCTTTCGTTAATGTAACAGGGGCTCCACGGTGAGTGAAGAGAATGGAGAAGAGGCCGTTGTTCCACCATCACCAAGGTAAGCTGCACTACAGTGAGTTTCAAACTTATTTGTTACCAGATCCCAGTGTAGCTGATCTCTTCCTTTGTATAATAGCTTTTTTGCCACAGATAATATGTTGATATGTCCATATATGAAGAGATGTTGCTCTACTCAAAGTAGCAGAGCTGTAAGACCAAATCCAGGGAATCCAGAGAAAAATTTGCCTTTGCACACTTTGTCCCAGCATCAATGATGCATACTTGAATGGTTCTTAAATGGTTCTTGAATGTATGGTTCTAGGAAAAAGTTTCAGTTGGTACTGAACCTTTATATTATGTGGAGATTCTTCATTTAAACATCTCCTTTGCAAAAATGACAAAAACGGTTCTTCAAAGCTCCACTGTGATCACCATTCATCCACTTGAGGAGGGAGCCAAAAGAACAACCAATGTCACAGAATGTTCTCCTGCGCGTTGTGTGCAATTACACATCTCCACCAGAGAAGTCTCCAAATCCCCAGAGCTTACATATTGTACCTTTTAAAGAACCATCCATTGATGGTTCTTCTATGACATCAACCCAAAGAACCCTGTTTGGCACCTTTGTCTTACCTCGGGTAAGATCCTTCTGGTTTTGAACATGACGTAGCTATCGTGTCGTCAAGAATTGCCACTGAAGAGCCTTGGGTAGTCAGAATTTGAAAGGCATTATCTCAGATGGGAAGCTGCATCATCTAACGATGACATTACACTGCTCAGGGACTTTAATCCCAAAAACAAGTGACTGAGATTTTGCGCAGCTGAAAGATGGAAATTACTTTAACCACAATTCAGTTCAGTGTGTGAAAATGTATTGATAATCCGAGTTCTTGACAAGCGATTGTGTTCTCAGGCTGCCAGTGAAGGCACCAGAGTTGGAGGAGGAAGAAGAAGAGGAGGAGTGTGAGGATCAGGATGTGTTGGTGCCGAAGGTTAGGGTAGCAGAGGATGGCTCGATTGTTCTGGATGAAGAAAGGTAGCTCTACCCTGTCTACAGTCACATCTTCATTGCTACGCTGTAGATTGTTTTAAAGCAATAGTTTGACCGAAAATCAAATGTGCACAATTTTTCCTCACCCCAAATATTTCCACAAAGGGGAGGCTATGGTGACTCAGGCTATAAAGTGCATCTGGGGCGGAGGGACGAGGCATTTCCCATTCAAACCTCAGCTTCAGTACCTATCTGCAGAGAATAATATAAGATAGATTATTTAGAGGAATGGTTTGGCCACAAATCAAATATTGTGTTAACTACATACCTCAAACCACACTGAGTTGTTATGGAATCTGAAATAGGCTGGCTTATGTGGTTTCTGGCACTGCATGACATAATGTTGTATATAAAAATGGAGAAACGTACTGTACAGTACTCTACTTTTGCCTGGTTTTATAGATAACTGCATATCATGAATATGATTTTAGACAGGATCAGTTTTACGCTGGGAGGTGGGGTAATGTTACCACATAAAGTGGGTAATGTTAACGGCTGATTCACACAAAATAAAACGAAAACAATAAAATTAAAGAGAGGGGAACAGATTCACACATAGCTGTGACACCAAAAAAGTTCCATACATCATACATTCGGCTGCTCATAGCATGTCCAAAGATTTTATTTAATCCTAATTTACCATAATCCCATTTACCCTAACCATCCACTAAGATGTCTTAAGTGAATGAAATGTCATTAATGTTGTCATTAGCTTGGGAATCATACACTTGAGGTAGGACAAAACATATTTGCTTGATTTAGACCACGAATCAGATGCTTCTTTGCGTGTCTCCACACTTAAAAAAATACACAAAAACTCCTTTTCTACATATGATGGCCAACATGGCAATTCACATGGGATTAGAATAAAATGGAGTTGTTTCTACCGTTAAGATAGAAAGTGGATTGGGATGGGAGTAAAATCAATGAGAAATAGCTGTAATAATTACATTATCCAACCTCACCATGTAAAACTGCTTTACGGTGTCAGAAACCACGCTTGTCTGTTTGAGATTACATTGAGGATAACAGGTATACATAACAGGTGTACATAACCTTCCATTACATGTTAGTGACATCAGCCTTGTGGCTCCAGTGCTAAACTGAAGAAATTCACCAAACAAGATCTCAGCTAAACTATATTTGGGTTAAGAGGAAAACTGTAAATTTGAAATCTGGCACAACCGTTGCTTTAAGTGCGGAGAGGTTCTAACCCATTTTGTGTTTAAGTTTGACAGTGCGAGTTCAAAGGAACTCTAACACCAAAGTGGTGGAGGGCTCGACGGCCCTGTTTGAGCGAGGCTCTACTACAACATACTCGAGCTTCAGGAGCCTTCACTATGTGAGGAGCTGGTCAGTTAGAGGTTGGTAACACCGTTCTGACTTTGGATGGTGGATCCTGTTGATTATATAGTGTTACTTCAGTTCATTTGCTGAGAGAGAGATTAGTGATTTTTCTCTATGAGCAGTGTTATCTGTCAGTTTAATTGGTGTTACACTGCTGCTCACAACAATTTAATGTTTAATCTCTATTGCTGATGTTTACTGATTGCGTCTTTCTCAGAGACAGACATGTTCTATCTGGCCATCAGCATGGTGGGGACAGATTTCTCTCTCATTGGTCAGCTGTTACCTCACCGTAGCCGTGCAGAGATTAAGGTAGTTTCTTTGTTGCCTGTTCTGTATTGTTTTGTTTCAGCATTTTGGAATTTCTCAGTTCTTCACGATTTGACATGATTTGTTTATTAACTTGATTACAGAACAAATTTAAGAAGGAGGAGAAAACAAATGGATGGAGAATTGACAAAGCATTCAGTGAGTGCTCTGTGACTTTTTTTATTTAAATACCGCTTAGAAAAGGTTGATATGTAACACATACAAGTTTGATACCTAATTTACTCAGATTTGTTGAAAGTAAGAGATTTTTCTGAAATTCTCATTTTTTTTTATTTCTACTATTGAATTTCACACATTACAATCATATATTGTACCGTTGGGATAGGCTTCAGCGACCAAGAGGAAAGCAGCTGAGATAATGTGTATGGGTGATCATATATTGTCATATTTACAAGTGACTGCTTGTATAGATTAACTTTCTGACTAAAGTTTGTGTTTTATAATGTTTTTACTAGTTGAATGATATTTTTTTTCCTCCCACAAGGGAACAAGCGGCCCTATGACAGGGAGTTCTTTAGCTTCCTGCTGGAGAAGGTTTTGGCCAAAGATAAAGAAAAAGGAAAATCTATCAAACTGGTCATGACAAATCCCAGGAAACGTGGGAAAGCCAGAGGTAACACTGTTTTCCCAGAGTTATAATCAATAATGAAAGTTCCCTGTAAAAGTCTAAAGAGCAAGAGGGGTGATTATATTTCTTGAAATTACTGGAGTAACTTGAGCTCCTGTTTATCTTGTCTATTCTTCCATCAGGTAAAAAAGCAAAGCAGAATGAAGAGGAATATCTCAGCGGTTCTGGTGCAGATGAAGACTTTGACATGGAGGACGGAAGTTACATGGATACTGAAAAAGAGAATGAGGGTCTTCCCAATGTGAACAAAGCTGATAACTCCTTTCCTGCTAAGAAGAAGCGCAAAGGCACAAATGACATTAGCAAAGATAAGGATAATGAGGACTCTGAGGAACAAGGCAAAGAGAAAAAGAAGAGTAAACGTGCCAAGAAAACCAAAAAAGGTAAGTGTTTTTATATTTGTCAGATTTATTACATAATCAGCTGATTGCAGTTATTTACTACAGTTGTTAGCTTTCACACTCATATTTTGCTGATGCACAAAAACCTAATAATAAAATAATAATAATAATAATAATAACTATTATTATTGTTGTTGTTATTATTATTATTATTATTATTATTATTATCTTCATTTTAAATTTGAAAGTGTCCCCTTTGTATTGTCTTAAAGTTTAATGATGAACAGACTGATAGATATTATCCAAAATACCAAAAAATCTTGATACATAAACTTTCAGAATGTTTTTCTCCTCTAAAGTTATCAATTTGGAGATACAAGGTTTTGTTCTAACAGTGATGATATGTTTACATTGCAGCAAATGGAATGTGAACAGCTAGAAAGCAAGATAGCTAATCAGACAGTACTTTTAATGCAAATGAGAAAATTTGGAATTTTAACTTTAATACAAATAAGCAATTGAAATGTTAATCACAGTAATTTCTATGGCAATTAATTGTCAGCTAAAATTTAATTATTGTGACAGGCCTAGTTTATAAAACCACTTATACCTATGGGTTAACCCTTGAATACCTTGATTCTTCAATAGTCCTGGGCAGTATGACCATATATCATTATTGTGAGAAATTATGTGAACATACAATACAATACACTTTTCTAAACATCATCTAAACACGTTAGTACTTGTAGGACACTGAGCAGCTGCATGTTTCATTATAAAGAGAGCAAAATTAGTCCCATTTAACTAAACTTAGTGCAATACAGTGTGCGAAATATTGAATAAAAATCTTTGTATTCACAGTTTTTGATAGTATTTTATGAAATGTAAAACTACCTTTTTTTTTCTCTGTTCCAACTGATCAGATGTCTGAAAAAAAACATACTGTGTCATTAAATGTATCGTGACATTATGTGTCAGAAAAATTTCTTGAAGTAATGCAATATTATATGTTAGCCATATCACCCACTTGTAGTATTTAATGACTGTACCTACACTTGTCACAACATGTTACTGGCAATAACAAAATAATAAACTAAAATTTTGCTATATTTTGATGTTTTCTTTAGCACTTAGGCCTATCTAACCAATGCAAATTGCAAATTAAAGTGATACTTTAATGATAATCTATGATAGTATAATGATATTTTATCAGCCACAAGACAGACGGCTCCTCTCCACTAATGAAGTTGCAACACCTTAGCAACCAGCTGGGATACTATAGCAATGGACTAGCAATATTTAAGCAACCACCTGGGATACCAGCAGTGTCCTAGGAACACCTTAATAACCACCTAGGATACCAACTGCCAAGTAACACCCTAGCAACAACTTGAGATACCATAGCAATGGCCTAGCAATATCTTAGCAACAACCTGTGGTACCCTAGCAATGGCCTAGCAACACCTTAGCAACCATCTAACAACCACTAAAAACACAGGAATACCATAGCAACCTCATAGCAGCATCAACACACCTGATCCAACTAATCAGGTCATTAACAAGCCCATGCTTAGTTACAGTGGGTATGTTAAAGCAGAGAAAGCAGTAAAATGGCCAGGACACTGGGCCTTCAGGACCAGAGCAGTGAAACAGTGGTCTAGGAAGAATGTCAAAGGAACATTCATGACATTCATGTATTTAACAATACACATACTATATGCTGCAACCATGGTCAATCACTATGGTCTGCTCTTTATGCTGTCTGTGTCAGAAATTCAATATAGATGGTCAGCTTCTGAGCATCGTACAGATTTTGTGTGTCAAATAATAGGATTCAAAGGTATTGTTTGTCGTTTCAGCCATGCACTCTCCTGAGGGTGACGCTAAAGGTGAAAGTGGCCTTTTCAACGCAGACGGCGGCTCTGTAAATGCAGATAAGGATGACGAGCTTGACTCAAGTATATCTGCTCCCAAAAAGAAGCGCAAACGCTCAAAGAAAGCTGAAGAGGAGAGGCAGGATGAAACGTCAGTTGAAAGAAGCAAAGGGAAACGAAGCCGAAAGTCACTTAAAGGTACCAGCCTGCATTTGACTTCAGATGACATTTACTGATGTTTAACATTTACCACCTCATTAACATTTGCTGACATTTAGCGTTTTCTGACTAATTAAAATCTCGTGACAACACTTCTACTGAATTACCTTTCCCAGCGAGTGTTCATACTGAGTCTGAGCAGTTTTTCTTGATTATCTGGCTTGAAATTCACAGTTGGCGATAACGCTGACGAATCCATCGGTGCTGATGAAGAAAATGGCATTGTGGATGATGATGACTCTGCAGCTGCAACAAAGAAGCGTAAACGTTCCCAAAAAAGTGACCTGAAAGAAGGCCGACCAGCCAAGGAGAAAAAAAGCAAAAAGGGAAAAAAGTCACAGAAAGGTCATTTGTTTACATTTAAAGGAATAGTTTGGCAAAAAAGAAAGTTTATAGTTTCATAACTAGTAAATCAGATAAGACATGCTGAAGCTTGTGTACACCAGTTAGGCCTAAATCATCACACATTTGCCTCAAACCACATGCAGTTAAGTAATCTTCGATTGGTTATGTGGTATTTAATACTGAATTGCATAGTATTATTTATAAAAATGAATAAAAAACAAACTAACACAGGGTAAAATATAACATGGATATTTTATTTTGTGGAACAGTTTATGCACAGTTTAAAAACATGGTACACATATTATGCAAATAACAAATATTACATACTTCATATTTTTACACATACTTCATACTTCACAATTGATATTTATTTTGATTCATATATTTTCATGCGTTTAGGTTGGAAAGCTCATCTGACTCAAATAACATTAATTTGTATTGAATTAGTTGCATTTGCATTGATTTACCAGACTTTTTGGTGCCTGTCTCGAGTAGCCTCTCAGTGTGGTAGACTTAACCCTGTTTATGGGGAAAGTTGCAAGATTTGCACTTTTTGCTGCTTTCAGCAAAGCTCTTCATAAACAATAGACGCTAGAAACAAAGTTGCGATAAAAATATATTAATCTTACTTAAGTTCTATTAAGACAAACACTTTCAAGTGCTTAGCTACTGTCATGTGCATAGTTTTCATTTTTGTTGGCTACATTAGCCATGTACTTCAAAAGTGAGCAAGCAACCTTCAGACACCAAATGTCTTGGCCAGTAAACTCCATTTAGGAAAGTTTAGCTATATTTAATTTTGCTGTCTTAAATTCTGCTCCAATAATATCAGCCTTTGAAATTGTAAATGAGATCTTTCGTCTTACTATGTTCTCTTCAGACACAGTAGACGATGAGGGAGCCGCAGAAGATATAGAAGCTTCAGTAACTGCAGAAGATGGAGAAGCAGCTAAAGCTAAAAAGTAACTGAAGGCCCTCTCTCAATATTAAAATCCACATATTTCCGTTCTTCTTTTGAACTAATCTGCTATTTTGTTTTCGTTCTGTGGTCGAATAGGAAAGACACTTTCATCCCAGCTGAACTGATGGATAAGCCTCCACAAAGGTCTGTCAGGCAACCTAAGAAACCGAGGCCTAATCTGGCTGCAAGAAGGCGTAAGGAAGCCTCTGAACCAGAAACTACTGATGGCGACGAGATTCATGAGAGTCAAAATGAGAATGACAGCACATTAATTTCGGAGGTGTGTGTCAGTGAGGTCAAACACAAGGTCAGATGGTTTTGTCTCTGGTTGATTATATATTGTATGCTAAACTATTAAGTAATTTTCAGTTATTTAATTCTTGTAGGAAGAGGTCAGTTCCTTGAAGGCCGACAAACTCCAGCAACAAGCCGTGGTTGTGCTGGAAAGGACTCCCCCAAGGTGTTTCTCTGCTCCTACTTTCTAATACGTCCCAATTCTGTTTATTAATTCATGTGTTATTTATCAACAATGTTTCTGATTTCAAAAATATTCAGACTCAAAGGTGCTACCAAAGGGGGTATTGAGTGTCTAATGTAGGTGCTGTATTGATAGGTTATTCAAAAAGCTTTTAAAAGGGGAATTCCACCATTTTTTTCTAAAATTTTAAACTCAATTCAGTGGTTCAGATGTAAACAGTCATTCAGAGTGGTTTGATGTGAAATAGTTCGTTGTGGAGAATCTTATTGGCTGATTTTGGTGATGGGAACCAGGGGTTGCAATATCTGCAATATAAATATAAACAATTTATTTACAATCCAGAACCACTAGTAATGTTGATAATGGTATAAAAACATAAAACAATGTCTCAGGCATGAGGCAACACATTCTTAACCATTTCATGTATTAACGTTTTGGCACGTTTAGAGGCATTAAACACTTCAGAAGTCTGGTTCTTGTCGTCACTACTGTGACTCTTAGTTTCTCTTGAACAGATTATTTCACATCAAATCAGTTATGCTAAAATATTGAAAAATCTGTGGAATTCTCAGTTAACGTACTGCTTATGGTTAATTTTTCTGCAATATTACTGATTTGTTTGTTCTTTTCCTGCACATTCTCACATTATAGGGTGCAAAACCTCCTCAGCCTTTCTGAGGTCCAACAGGAGAGCAACGAATCAGAGGCTTCTATGAATCTACCTGCTTCTCCAGTGACTGGTGAGAGTTCTTCTGGGCCAGCAAATAAGGATGCAAAGAGCCGAAAGAGTGAAGCGCAGTTTGACTGCTGAGAGGAAGAAAGGGAAAAGAAAAGCAGTGTTGGATCAGAATGAGGCTGAGCATGATCCAGGTACCTCAGCTGAGGATATGCAATGTCCAACAGTTCTGCTAGAGCAAATGGTCACTCAGGAATATGAAGATCCAGAAGCTGGGAACTCCTTGGATGAGGTTAGAAAAGAGGCCAACTCATGCTTTACATTAGTGAAGTGTTCAGTCAAGCAGAAATCAAATTAACAAAATTCTCCCTTGAAATATTATCATGTTTACTGTCTGTTTACTTCTTTAGTTTTGCAACGGAGCCACGAGAGTAATGTAGCTAATACGCAATGTAAGCTTATACCCCTAGAATTAGCTTTGTGCAAACTGCATGCCTAAATCATCACAATGACACAATGAAACTGTGTCAGTTTGTTTGACATACTGTCCTTTTTTCATACAAAAGTACGGTATATGTCATACATAGTCAGAAGTGTTTTGAGGCAAGTGTGCTGATTTAAGTATGCAGTCCAGTCTGCTAGCTACTATCATGTCATCCGACATTATCTGCTATTATTACGTTATAAATGTTATATTTTATGCTACATTAGCCTTATAGCATCAGTGCAAAACTAAGCAAGCAAATCCAGACATCAGATATGACTTGGTTGATCAACTACATTTAGCCTAAGGGGAAAAAACTTCTTTTAACTTTTCCCCTGTTTATTAAACATAAGCATTGGAAGCATAAGCATTGTTTCAGAACAATAACTGGCATATTTTTTGTTCTCTTTCAGAACCTGGTTGACTTTTCATGCCTTCATCATTTAGATAGTAAGTTTATCTTCATATTAACACACATATCTTTGTGGTTATTTATGTTCTGCTAAAAAAATAATCTGTTCTCACCTAAAGGTCACATGTTCCAGAGAAGGCCAATGGTGGTGTTATCACGTGAAGAAGTGGACATGATCCTCAATGTTCAAGACCAAACAACTGAAGACGACCCATCAGTGAGTCCTCTGGATTTATCACTAAACACAGAGCTGTCCTTTCAGCTCCACTGCAGCAACCTCATGGGGGAGGATGCTGAAGCCGCTCAGATTGAGTCTGTAGTGGAAGAGCATGGAGGAGAGATCTCACCTCAGGAGATGGCTTCGTCTAGTGTTGTTCTTGAGGAGAAACACTGTGAAGACATGGGATTAACTGAGGCTGAACTGGTGAGCACAGAGATTTGAACTTTAGCTGTACTGACATATTTGGATACTCAAGGGAAGAAATGCTTTGCTCACTTTCCTGATTACATCCACTTTCTTCTTCTTTTTAGGACCAGTCTCATATCTCAACTCCAGCAAAATCAGAGGGTGAGATCTGAAGCTATCAGCATGGCTTGTTTTATTTTTTTCACATTTGTTGATACTGTTTGGGTGGCTCAAATGTAATGTTATGTTGGCTAAGCGTCCTCACATGTGTAGATGGTACAGGGTGAACAAAGGTTACTCACAGTCTGGTACCAACGTAACTTGCGTACCTGTAACGTGTTTTGAGTGTAGCGATGAGTGAGGTTTGTTTATTTGACTGTAATGTTACAGTACTTCTTTTCAAGAAAAAGTAAGTACATTACTGTCATTACTGCTTGTTGGTGAGCCTTCTCAGACTGTTCATGTTCCTGCCCCATGCAGTCAGCAAACAACTAGAGCCAGCCACTGTAGCAGCCTCATCTTTCTCGGAGAATTCTGAACCACAAGTTGATTCCAAGACCGATAAAGGTAAGACCATGACTTTGTTCATGCATCCTCAAAAACATTTAAGTTTGGCTTCTAGACCAGCAATAAAACAGTGGTTGACTCTTACAGATGTGACCACAACAACAAAGGAACTTGAAGGTTTTCCACCTTCGGTAGCTCTGCAGACTGTTGCTTCTGAGGACCCCATCCACTCAAAATCTGATGCACCTGTGATCCATGAAACATTATTTTTTCCAGAAGCTGTGAAACATTGTGCTTCTTTGCCATCCCAAGATGTTGTGGAGGAATCAAGAAATCAATCTTTGCTAGTAACCCCAGAAATCAAGGAGGGCTCCCAAGGGTCTGTGTTGGCATCTTCTGATGTGTTGGTGAGGTCACAGGATTCTGTAGAGATTAAAGCAGGATCGCAGGGTTCTGAAGTAGTAACACCAGAAATTAAGGAGGGATCGCAGGATCTTATGTTGGAAACGCTGGAAGTGAAGAAGGGATCACAGGGGCCTGTCTTGGCAACCCTGGAAATTAAACAAGGGTCACAGGGCTCTATAGAGGCAACTACAGAAATTAAGGAGGGATCACAGGGATCCATTTTGACAGCCCTGGAAATAAAGGAGAGACCAGGGGGGTCTAAGGTGCCTGCACCAGTGTTTAAGGATGATTCTCAGGAACAGGACTTGCTAGAGTCTCCAGTGGAACCTTTTGAAATCTTGGAGAAATCAAAGATGTCTGTAGTGGTAACACCAGAAATCAAGGAGGGATCGCAGGGTCTTATCTTGGATACCCTGGAAGTGAAGAAGGGATCACAGGGGTGTGCATTGGCAACCCTGGAAATTAAAGAAGGGTCACAAGGCTCAATAGTGGCAACACCAGAAGTTAAAGAGGGATCACAGGTGTCCATCTTGACAGCCCTGGAAATAAAGCAGAGACCAGGGGGGTCTAAGGTGCCTGCACCAGTGTTTAAGGATGATTCTCAGGAACAGGACTTGCTAGAGTCTCCAGTGGAACCTTCTGAAATCTTGGAGAAATCAAAGACATCTATAGTGGTAACAGCAGAAATCAAGGAGGGATCACAGGGTCCTATGTTAGAAACGCTGGAAATGAAGAAAGCATCACAGGAGTCTGTCTTGGCAACCCCAGAAATTAAGAAGGGATCACAGGGGTCCATCTTGACAGGTCTGGAAATAAAGGAGAGACCAGAGTGTTCTATGGTGCCTGCACCAGTGTTAAAAGATAATTCTCAGGAACAGGACTTGCTAGAGTCTCCAGTGGAACCTTCTGAACTCTTGGACAAATCAAAGAAGTCTGTAGTGGTAACAGCAGAAATCAAGCAGGGGTCACAGGGGTCTTTTGTGGCAACCCCAGAACCAAAGGAGAGACCAGAGGGGTCTATGGTGGCTGCACCAGCAGTTAAGGAATCTTCCCAGGAAGTAGCGGAGCAGGCTGTTATACCCAGGTATGTAATCTTCAACTATCGAACAATCAGAAAAAAGATCACGACTATTTACATTATTTAGTGTAATTATTCACAATTAATCACATTAATCGTATTTGCTCGCATGGGGACAAGGACTGAAAATTTGGCCTTTGCAAAAGTTAAGGCACATTTTATATTTTGTTATTCCAAATTGTTAAGCTACAATATGTAGAAATTTTGTGCTACATTAGCAGAAAAACGACGTTTTAAGTTTATTCCTCGTGTTATTTTGAGTTATTCCTAACTTATTTTGACATTTTCAAAACATCATTTTAACAGAGGTATTAAATTTTTTGCGTATGACTGTAGATGAAAAGATAAAATAGGCTTTGTCAGAATGTATTCATTACTTCAATAATTCAGTAACATGATATTTCATTCTGTGAACACAGGGTTCACATAAACCTGAACATGAAATCACAAGCTTCCTCAAGAGTAAACACACTTTTCAGTTTTCATTACTGAGTGAGAGCAACAGAGGCTGCATGTTCCAGCCAATGAATGTATGAGTCATACATATCCCACACTGTAGTTTTCCACTTTGCTATTGTTTTTGTTAGTTTGCTACTCGTTTATTTATCCTCACTGTTCAGCATAGTCTACCAAAGACATTGCTTTATTGACCATTTACAACCTTTATTTGAACGAGTGAGCTTGGCTTCAGCCTGCATTGCTACCAATGATTTGAAGGGTCAAACTAGGAAAATGTGCTAACAACATTAAAGAATGCATTAACATTAACAGCTGTAATGTAGTTACTATAAAAATGTGGTTAAGGAATTCATCATGGCTGGCATAACTTTCATCTGTCATCTTGTCTTAACTTTCTGTCCTTTGTCTGATTAGCAGCACCAAATCATCATCTGGTGCTTCAGTTTCGTCTGCACTTGATGCCTCAAAGAGGAGGAGCAGGTTTCCGAAGCCCAAACCTAACCTTAGTGTGGCGTCCAGATTCATGCACGGTTCTCCAAAACCGAAAAACACTGAGCCTAGAAAATGTAAGATCTAAAGTCAAGATAAACTATTAGGTGAATAACAGAGGGATTATATGAAAAAACAATTTATGGTGACTAATCATCTTTTTTGTCTTGATATTCAGTCTCCTCTGAAAAGATCTTACCTCAGACCACTGGTAAGGACCACCACTGTAACTTGGAAGATTTAAGCAGTGAGGAGTTCTCCAAAGAAGAGGAGACATCTCAGTCACATGCAGTGGGCATGGAATCAGAATCAGCAAAAGGTTCCCTCACCCCAGTCCCAACTCCAAAGACTGAAGGCCCTGTAGACTACAGTGTAAACAAAACAGTTGGTATGTGGAGACTATCTAACCTTTCTGATAAAAATGCTTTGTCTGCTCTATGTTAAACCATGGCGGCTTATTTAATATGTCATTGTATTCATTGTTCCAGTTCTCAGTGGTGCATCTCCAACAGTGCCAGAGCAGGAGACCATCACTATAGTGACGCTGAGTACATCCAGTGCTGAAGAGTCGCAGTTGGCTTCTGAGCAAACCAACGACACTTGTGATATGGATACGTACGTGCCTGATTCTTTATTAAAACTAAACTGTAAAAAATAAAAGTGGTGACTAGGTGATGGGCGTGGCTATTCAAATATATAGTTATCCGAAATTAGTATTTGTTACTTAATCGAGTATTAGAATAAGGATGCAAAATGGAATACAAATGTAAATGGAGTATAAGTTGAGTGTGCAATGTAGAACAGTGGGCATGACAATGTGGGCAGACAAACAGCTGGTATTTCATGTCACATTAAATGAAATGGCTGCATCTACATGGTGCTACATATGGACAAATTTCAAAAGGGTGGCATAGGTATGGCCTGAAGTTGTGCAGCTCTGTCTGTAGGCTAAATGATTGTATGTTTAAGGGCACATGTCCTATATTTTACTTGGATATCTTATATCTTATGCTATATTTTTTGTTTTGAAAAAGTCCACTTTTAATGTTTGTCTGGATTTATATTCCAAAAACGATCAGCATTCATTTTTACATGACTATTTTCCAGCATCTCCTAGTCTCTTAGTACGGAACAGGCTATTTTGTTCCTTTTGTTACTTTTAAGACTGTTGTTAATGTTCTGGTTGGCTGCCCCGCATTGTGCTGCATTCAAAGAGCGGTCCAGGCTATAACACTCCATACAACATCAGGGTGAATGGGTGGAGCTTAACTGTTGTAGGCTGAATATGTTGGTTTTTATGATATCACAGAAACAGTTAATTCAAAACAGGTTTATGCAGCTTAGTTTCTATTTATGGACTTTATGGACTGGATATTGAACAATAAAGTGAGAAACTTTAACAATTTTAATCGTTTCTCCGGATCAAATTTTTATTTAAAACAAAGGAGAATTTTTTTTGCCTGAAACACCAGAATAAATCATTAAATCAACTCAACTGGCAAACAAATGTTAAACCTTTTTCTTTTTTGTATTTATAACAATCAAATATTTTCTCATTGTGATATTTGAATGCTGTTCACGGAGAAACAATTAAAATACCCATCCCTACAGTTGACATATCAGAAGACTTGCACCAGCACTTCAAAACAGCTTTTTTCCTTTTTCATTGCCCCTGTAGGTTGCCAGTTGGTGCATCTGTAGCAGAAGACCTTCATATGGGGGATACTACATGTATTTTGCCTCTGCCTACACAGGCTGCAGAGCAAGAAAGTACAGGAGAGATGATGGGTAATTTGGAGGTTAGTAAAGCCTTGGAGCAGTTCAGAGTGGACTTATGTGGTTCATAATTGGCCATGATGACTGATTACCGGTTATATATTGACAGGAATTATGTGCTCCTGCAAAGATCATCCAGCCAACTGGAGGTGGGAACATTTATGCATTGCAAAAGTCTGTAGTTAACTGACATTGAATAAGACAAATTAATGTATCGGGCATTTAATATTTTGATGAAACTGTTGTTTTTTTTGTTTTTTTCTCTCCTCTCTCCCTCCTCTGCAACTGCCACTGTCTTCACACAGATGGCAACAGTGAAGAGGAACCCACCTTCATTTTGACTTTATATGAGATTCCTGTTACTGAACCGTATCCAGCTTCAGCCAGTACTGACTCTCAACTACTGTTTTCAGACCAGCCTCCTTTACCATCTACAGCAGAGTCTTCCAGGTTACACTTGACACTTTCTTGTTTAAGTTGTTTCAAGTAATAGAGTTGTGTATATATGTAGTAATTTGATACAACTGTTTTGGTTTCATCTTAGTGACTCTATGTCTGTGGAAACTGGAGACATTCAGAATGAGTGCCTGGACATTTCGCAAAATGAGTTGTCTGGGACCGTAGGTCCAGAAGAAGAATCAAATAAGACACTATTAGTGTTGGAAGAGAAAACTTCACCTGGTAAGTGGATACATTGTATCTTTAGGTTATCATTTTAACCATTGGTTGTTAATACTGTCAGTATGAAATATTGTCATGTTGCTATATTATTTAAATGTGATTATAGAGTTGCATGCTTGATTAACTTCTGTTTGAAGACAAACAATGACAAACATATAATGATTTTTTTTTCTGTCTGCAAAACAAGATTATGTTCTAGGAATAGGCAATATGGCAGAAGTTTCACAGCATTATACTTGAGGACATTTTCAGAATACAGGATGTACATCACAATAATAAGGTTTCATAATTTAGAACTGGCAGAAACGAACCAGTGTCCCATTTTAAATACAAAGAAAACTAAAACAAAGCAAAAACTATGAATACAGTAATTTTCAATTCAATGTTGTATATACCTTGCTGCAAATCCAGTTAAAAAAGACTTTTTAGTGGGTTCCAGAGTAGTGCAACAATCCAAGCATTGGCCATATCATTGAGGTCAACCTCAATCCCTGGTGTTGAACCAGCCGCCTGTCCAAGACACTCTCTCTCTCTCTCTCTCTCTCTCTCTCTCTCTCTCTCTCTCTCTCTCTCTCTCTCTCTCTCTCTCTCTCTCTCTCTCTCTCTCTCTCTCTCTCTCTCACACACGCTCTCACACACGCTCTCACTCACTCTCTCTTTCTCGCTCTCTCTCTCTCTCTGTCTCTCTCTAAAATTGTATTAATCATTATATTGTCCACCCCTACTACACACAATAGAAACTTTTTATTAAACTCAAATAAAAAAGCATCTCTTTTAAAAATATTTGGATTCTGAAAAAATAACTGATATAAAACATCTTGTTTTGATTGCCAGCGAAACTTTTAAGGGTTAACTTGAGCAGTGTTGGTAATGTTGGTGTCAGTTAGTTCAGTTAGTTAATGATAGTCATTGACACTAAATTTGCTCTTGAAATTCAGGGCCTTGCAGAGAATTTGACCAGCAAACCTTGCCCCAAGCAACATCTCAGCAAACCTTAGCACCTCAAGCAACGGACGAGGCCAGTGAGGTTTCTACAAAGCTGGAAACTGAAGATATGTTGGACTCTGCAAGTACAGAATCAAAGTCTGAGGGTCCAGAATTGATCCCACTTGAAGATTTGAAGCCCATGCATCAGAGCACACCATTTACTGTTAGGGTTTCAAAACAGTAAGAGAACAAAATGCCTCTCTTAGCTTTTGAAGTATCATGATGATGTCATAAGATTGAGAATTACATAATCTTTGTCATTAACTTTGCCTTTAGTATTGCCCCAGTACCTCAAGACATGGAGGACTCTGAGGAGCGCAAGGGTGTTTCACACATTGTTTCGACTGACGTCTTTGTTCCTGCCTCGGAGATGGGAGACGATTCAATAAAGCACAGCCCACCCAGTGAAGAGCCAATAAAGGTATATAAAACATCTAGCTAGCTTACTCTGCTAAGTGTGCCAATGATTGAATGGCATATGGAGGAACGATCAGACCTAGAGATTTGCAAGAATTAATTCTATTTTCGATTGAAATTGCTCAATCGCACATTTACCCCTGGAAGTACATCTGTTTTTGATGTGTTTGGGAGTTTATATGTATTATTAATCAATAGAAAGTCTAATAAAATAGAAGAAATAGATTCTGAAAAGTTGAAAAAAGAACATGTATTTCATCAGAGAAAGTAGTATTTTTTCAGTTAAAGTCTATGGAGAGACATGCTTTTGTAGCACCGTTGAGGATTTATACCATTTGATCGCTTGGGATAGCCAGACATATTCAGCGTGCCAAAAACTGCCCCCTGGAATGGCTAGACTTGTTCTCCCTCCACATTTAGGGAGTGAAAGGGGCACATTGCCACCTAGTGTACCACAGTGGCAGTTGTTCAAATGTTAAGCCCTTGCTGCTAATACCAGACTGAGGAATGGAACAGTGTAATGATTTTATCAAAAATACTTCAAATACTTATTATTGATGGTGAACTAATGTTTAATAATACCTATTTTGATCAATTTAATCATTTCATCACCGAGACATCATTTTCAGTCTTTCTGGCTTGAGTTTAATGTGTATTGCATTCACATTGTACAGAAGAAAAACTCTTATTTCATTGAGACTATTGGCAAATATTTTCCTCCAGGATGAATACTCTCCAGCGGTGTCCAGCCCATTGTTTACTGTGACTGTGGAGTCAAAGGATGGACCATCATTGTCAGAGGATAAAAAAGCACCTGCCAGAAGGAGAGGTAGACAAACTACTTCAGAGTGCATTTAACAGTTTTATTGTGTTTACTGTATGCTCTTATGTTGGTGGTTGATGGTAATAATTACAGCTTTCTCTGATCTCTATCAAAAGGCAAGCTGCAACCTAAACTAGTGCAAAGGACATCTAGTAAAGAAGACTCCTCAAAAACTGATCAACCAACCTCATCACAAGCTGTCTTGCCAGCATCTCAGCCAACTGTAGTACCTGAGATAAAGCAGGACTCTAGTACTGTTTCAGCAAAATTGGAAATAGAGAATATCCCAGATGCCCCCAAGTTGCGGTTAGCATCAAATACCAAAGGAAGTTCAGTTCTGGATCCCCTTCAAGGCAGAGATTTGCAGCAGAAGCTCCAGATTACACGGTGCACAGTTAGCCTTACAAGATGGTAAAACACCCCTCATAACCTTAATTACAGTTATTGGGTTTTTTTTCTTTTAATAATTTGTGTACTCATTGCCATTACCTCGCTCGTTGTGTTTTAGTGTTGGTTTGGTTCCACCAGAATCTCACATGTTTCCGGCCTCTGAAGATCATGTTCCAATGGAGCAGACAGCATCTGTGAGTAGCCCCTCACACAAAGAATATATCTTTTTTGGCTTTTTAAAGGGGAGTTGATTTTTCAGATTTCTGCAAAATTAAGTCGCTAAGATCTAAACAAAGTAATTAATAGTGGTAAACCAGACATGTTTAGAGTTTAATGCCTCTAAAAGCTACATTACCAAAAATATTTCATAAAAATGGTTCTGAATATGCTGCTCAATGCCTGAGACGTTGTTTTACGATCGTTTTGTGATAAGCTTTTTGTCCAAAGCATATTTTTTAATCTTAAAAAGGTGTGCATGCAGGATGTACACAAAGTACACATAGAAAACTCACCCAAAGGAAAAAGATAGTAAAGTTATTTTTCAGATTTACCACTGTTTTACCAGTTTAAACGTTACATTTATCAATTCAGAGGACATGTGCAACCCCTGGTTCCTATCAACAGCGCTGTAAAGAGTTGGTAAGTTTCTTTACAATGAACCATTTCACGCCAGACCACTCTGAATTAATCTGTTTACATCTCAACAATTGAATTATGAAAACACTTAAAAAATCTGTAGAATTCCCTTCATTACAAAGTCATATCTTTGTCACCTTTAACCATTAGAAGTCTAGTGCTATTGCCATTTCACTGTACATTGATTTACATTACATAATCATTTAGGGAGTCATGTGATTGTATTTACATTAATAATTATTTCAGTGTAAACTTAATTGCCTACAAAGTCATTTATTTATGTACATGTGATTTACCAGATTTATTCTCCTTTCAAGCACAAAAGTGATGTTTGAAAGGTTTGTTTTTTTTTGTATTTGTTTTAATGCAAATTACAATCAAAATATTCGTCCACAGGAAGAAAAAGTGGCAGATATTCCAAGTGAAAAAGATGCTGACACGATGCCAACTGACAGAACATCTGCCTCACAAGAAATTAAAGCACCTATAAGAAGAAGAGGTGAGGAAATGCTACTTTCTTTTGGTCAACTGTAATTAAATCAGACGTTTGCAGTTGACTCTCTCATCGTCTTTTTGTTGGATCAGCATTTTGTTGCTCTCATCTTAACAGGAATGCTGCAAGTGAAGCCTACGTTCCGAGTAAGACCATCCCTTAAAAAGGAAACCCAGTATGAGTTGGAAACCACTCAGTCAGATCCAGTACAAACCATCTCAGCAACGCCCCAAGAACCTGAGCTTGAGAAAGAGGCCAGCATGACTTCCAAGCTTGTAACAGGAGACACTGAAATAAAATATGATATGGAGTCAAGCTCGGAGGACAAAGAAAGCTCTTTATCAACGGCCCGTGAAGAAGCAAACTTGCAAAGCCATGACCGCGTACCTGTTAGTGTGGAGGCGACAGCTTCATGGTAAGCATCAGACTTAATTGTCCGGATATATAATAATAAGTCTGTGGTTTAAGGTATTAAATATTGCATTGTGGATTGCAGATGATCTATTTGTTATTTAATTAATTATTAATTTTAGTTCTGGCTCTTCGCCTGCGGACTCTGAGGACACTGAGGAAGACTGTGAAGGTGTTTCTCATATGGTGCTGGCTGACGTCTTTGTTCCTGTTTCTGAGGAGATGGGACATGATTTAAGCCAAGACTGGCTAATACCTATAGAGAGCAGTCCTCATAAAGAGAATGTCAATCATCCAAAGAAGGAGGAGGTTCACCATGGGGTATGTTGGTAGTTCCCTTTTCTCTCCATCATTCAAACTTAAACTCACTGACTGCTTTACTAGGAACACCATTCTAATACTGAGCAACTCCCCCTTTTGCTCTCAGAACAGCCCAAATTCTTTGAGGCATGTTTTCGACAAGGCGTTGGAAGTTTTCCTCAGAGATTTTGTCCATGCTGAGATGATTACATCATGTATTTCCTGCAGATGTGTCAGATGTACATTCATGCTGCGAATCTCCCGCTCTACCACATCCCGAATCTCTATTATATCAACTCACTGTCATGTTCATGGAATCAGTTTGAGATGGCTTGTTGTTTGTGACAAGGCCATTATCATGCTGGAAGTAGCAATCAGAAGATGTGGCTATAAAGGGATACACATAACACAGTAACAATACTCCGGCTATGACATTTAAGCATGCTCGATTGGTATTTGGGGGCCCAGTGTGTGCCAAAAACATTCCCCACACCAGTACACCACCACCTCCAGCTTGAACTGTTGACACAAGGCAGGTTGGCTCCATGGAGTCATGCTGTTTACACCAAATTTGACCATCTGCATGTCGCAGCAGAAATTGGGATTAAATAGACCAGGTTTTTCTTCACATTATCCCAAGATTGCTGTTCTTGGCTGATAGGAGTGTACCCCGATGTGGTCTTTTGCTGTTGTAGCCCATCCACCTCAAGTTTTGATGTTGTATGTTCGGAGATCAGTATCACCGTACAGAGTATTTATGCAAGTTACTAAAGCCTTCCTGCCAGCTTGAGCAAGTCTAGCAATTCCCCTCATTCACCACCTGTCAATCACTGAATGTAATTGAATTTTTTTCCCACATCATGCTGTGCAAACTCTACAGACTCTGTTGTGTGTGAAAGTCTCAGATCAGCAGTTTCTGAAACAGTCAAACCATGCCGTCTGGCACCAACAATCATGCCATGGTCAAAATCGCTTAGATTATGTTTTTTTCCCAATTCTGATGTTAGATGTGAACATTAACTGAAGCCTTTGACCCCTGTCAGGACGATTTTATTCATGGGCCGCTGCCACAAAATTGGCTGACTGGATATGTGCATGACTAAGCAGGTGTTTCTAATAAAGTGGCCAGTGAGTGTAGTGTTTTATGTTGTGAATTACTCAAAAAGTTAAAGAGTCCACTTCAATTGTTTCATGTAAAAGGAAAAACCTGAAGAATCAAAGAAGAGTAAAACACCTATCAAGAGGAAAGGTAGTTGGATGCATTTTGTTTCACATTCTTTTTTTTCTGAACACGGATCAAGATATGAGTATTTTTATTTTGCATTAATTTCAGTTAGTGATGATTGATTTCTTCTAATACCCAAAGACAAGCAGAGGACATGTGCTAAAAATGACTCAAGTACTGCAAAGCTGGAAGAAGTAGATCTCTCTGACCCCCCCAAAGGACCAGATCGAGAAGCCAAAGAGAGCTCAGAACAGGTGAAGCTGGAAGAAGAATTACGGAGAAGGCATCAGATCATGCCTTGCACTGTTAGGGTCTCAAGATGGTAAGAAAAAAGGGGGTCAGTTTCCAAGAGAGAAAATTGTGTGATTTACTGGTATACTGTGTTGTTTTTTGTCAAGAGATACTCTTCAACCTGGGTTCTCTTTCATAGCTCTGACTCTCTGCCTGTGGACTCGGAAGAGATTAAAGAAGAAACTGAAGGTCTGTTGACTGACGCTGTACTACCCGTTTCTGACAAAGTGGGAGATAATTTAAGCAAGGAATCGATGGTAAGAGTTAAAAGTCCTTATACAGAGCACGAATGTTTAATTTTTGGCAAAAATTGGGAAAGGTACAGTGCTGTGTAAAAGTCAGAGTCATTTGTTTTCCAATATAAACAGCCATTAAAAACACATTATTTATTTTTCAGTGTCGGAAGGAAAACAGAAAACATTTCTTTAACAGAAAATTCCACTTGCAGTACAAATTATAATATCAGATTTATCAGTATTTAATTTGTCCACTCAATTTGTGCACTCAACACTCTAGTCTTTCATCCTTTCCGATCTTAAAACCAGCAAGTTGTAGCTGTTACCTCTGTCACTGACATTATGTTCCCCTTCAAACAGACACCAACATTTACACAAGCAACTACCCAAACACACCTTAGCTGCCTTACACAATTTTTCTGTGCATCAAAAAATTATTAAAAGATAAAATCTGACTCCAAATGTGTAGGACCTGGAACTTAAAGCTTTCATCTTTGAGAGTTAGAAGAAACTTTGCTTCAGGTCTGGAAAAAATGCACAGGTGACAACTCAACGCTATGGCTCTGAAAGGATGTGTAGCTGTCAAGAACTATTATTGAGAAGAGGAAATAGACAGAAAAGAAGAAGATTTTGCTCTAGAGCATCGAAACTGGACATCTGGAATGTGAAGGGAGGTTTTATGGACTGGTGAGTCAAAATGTTTAATTGGGATTACTTGGATTGTGAGAAGAATGCAACCAGCTTCTAAGACTGAACTTTGGAGGTGTGGAAAAATGTCCCTGCAGATTTCTTTGAAAAACTGAAAGCAAATTTTTTTAGTGGAAGCTGGTATAAAGGCGCGTGAACACACTAAATAGTGACAGAATATGAAATTTGTTTGTTGAGGCTTCTGTGTAATTTTCTATTGCATATGTTTCCCATTTTTTAATCCTGAAAAATGAAGAATTTGTACTTGATGGTCATTTTCACTGGAAATTTAATACATTAAAAGTTAAGGTCTGACTTTTGCAGGTAATCTCTGACTTTTTCACAGTATTGTAAGTTGTAGTGTATGTGGTGTTTGTTTAGTTGGGACGTTTGAAAAAATAAATGTTCAATGTATGTATGTGTGTATTTATGTGTGTGTTTATTTATTTATTTATTTATTTATTTATTTATTCATTCATTCATTCATTCATTCATTCAATGTCAGCAGGTAAATAAGGCAGCCAGTCCATCCTTTGCTCCATCAGAAAGGGTCGAGGGAGCAGTCAACTTTGGAGAAGATCAGATCAGAAGAGCCATCAGTAAAAGTGCAGAGAAAATCCCCTACAAGAAAGAAATGTAGGAGAAAAACACTGTGTTTTAACATGGTTTCCATCTAACTGTTGATACTGTTGCTTTGTTGCTGTGATGCTATAGCTTATGACTTGATTTTTTTTTCCTCCACACAAGGTAAGCTTATGGTGAAGTTTCCATTTTTAAAACGAACAGTCCAGAAAACAGAGTCCTCAAAAAGTGATCCACCTAATTTAGAAGACGGTGCTGTACAGCTGCCTCGGACCGTTTCACAAACACGTCAGCTGACCATAACGGCTTGGGCAAAGAAAAGGTCAGACCAGACTGGAACAAAATCAGAAGCAGACGACCTCCCTAAGACCTCCCAAATGGAGTCCAGCTTAAAAGCCAAAGAAAGTTCACCTTTGCCAAGTGCACCACATGCTCTTAAGACTTTGTGGTAAGAGACCTTCGTTGTAATCATTGTTGAAATGTTTGCTTCTTCTTAAAGGTCAAAGATACTTCACTCTTATTTACTGTGGCTTAATTATTGTCTTTAAGTTCCAACCCGCAGCCCGCAGACTCGTCTGAGATTGAGAAGATGAGTGAAGATATTTCTCACATTACTTTAGTGCCTGCTGAGGATGCTGGAGAGGGAAGCATCTCCTGTACCAAGATACATGAAGTATGTTTCACAGCTTATTTGTAGGTTTATTGTACTTAAAAATATGTAACATGTTAGTATCATGTTTGTTATTTAATATACAGCTAAATGATTCTTCCAATAGGTGGAAACATCAGCAGATAATTCCCCCAAAAATTTGAAGGAGTCAAATGAGGAACGTTCAGGATCGCAGATAAACAAATCACCTGCCAAACAAAAAGGTAGGCAGTCCTTTGATCAGTTTCTTTGATTTTGCAGTTTATTGAAATCAAAACAGATGGATACACTGTCAAAAGTGTGGTTAGACCTTCAATAATTAGAAGATATTTGATTTGAATTAGAAGAAAAATTATTGTAGGCCATATTTTTTTCATTGTTTGACATCGAAAAACCAGGGGGTGTAGACTCAACCCTGTCAGTGCTGAATGTAAATGTAATTCTTAACATGTCTATACAATCAATAATAAGTACATTATATGGCGAAACGACAATAATTCTAAAAATTCAGATGTTCTCCCGAGATGCACCTGACTGTACTACTTTCTTTGATTTCTCAAAAGCCAAGCCTCAGATGAAGCCTGCACTGTTGAAAGGGACCCCTGCTAAGGATGAAGATAACTCGTCAAAAACTGATAAATCACCGTCAACTCAGCTCTCCTCACCAACACGGCAGCGTACCAGGGCAGCCAGAGCAAAGGGAGACTCTGAGAAAGCATCTAAGAAGCAAACAGATGATGTGTCTAATACACCCAGAATGGAAACAGAAAGCTTTCTTCTAACAAGTGATCCACAGTCTCCCAAACACTCAGCTCTCTGGCCAAAGGTCGTCCTGCCTCGTGTAAAATTACGGACTACTGATGCAGGATCTTCCTCGGACTCCTCCACCCCAACTTCCTCCCCAGTCAGGGTCTTAACATGTGCATCCCAACCAGTGACTCCTCCCAAGGTAAATGGCCAAGTAGACTTGCTTTATTTAAATGTTCACATTGGAGATGACACGATACCACTTTCTTTTTCCTTACTGATACTGAAGCCTTGATTATTTGCTGATACTGATTTATAATATTAAAAAAAACTACAATGCTTTAAAATGAGCTATTTTTGTCATCTAAAAAATACAACTCCAAATGAAAGTATCACTCTCTGACTGCTCAAAGAAATGCTCTACCACAACATGACCTATACAAAACATTTATTAATACAAAATGTATATACAAAATTTATTAAGTTAACTCTTTTGCAAAAAACTGAACAAATTAAAAAGATCACTTTCTTTGCAAATGTATAGATAATTAGTCTATTAAAATAAAACAAATTGTAGTTTAGTATGCAAAAGTCTGAACAGTGAAATTGCATGTTTTTTGATGTTCTAAGAGAACATAAGGTAACACATCCTCTACCGAGAACGCACTTAAATATGGGATGTTTCTGCAAATCTTAGTGTGCATATTCCTATTTATTTTGCTAAGTTGCTAAGTTAAAAAATTAAACAAAGTATAAAATGTGCCATTAAAATGTCCAGAAGTGTTCTCAGTAGAGGACGTGTTAACTTATTTTCACTTTAAAAAGATAGATAGATATATAGATAGGTATATAGATAGAGAAATAGAGAGAGAGATTTTCTGAAGGAAATTTAGCAGCCAGTAGCAGTCACACAACACAGGACAGTTATAATAATACGGGTGATACAATGTAAAAAGAGGAATATATACAAAAAAAAAGAAAACCTGCATATATACAACTAAAAATATACAAAAAATATGCCATAGATCTATCCTGAGATAAAAAGGCAGTGCAATAATGAATGTACAAGGAGGCTCAGGTAACAGCATATAATGACAATAATGAATAAATATGAGCATATATTGGTACTGAAATAAAGTGTCTAGGTGTGCAGTGTCCAGATGTGCAAAATGTGAGAAGGTGTGCAGAAGTACAATATGTACAGTAAGGTGTGCAGGCAGATAAAATAAACCTGTAATTTAGCATGAGCGATTCAGTCCTAGTCTACCCTCTTCCCTCTTCTCTTTTCTTCTGGCCCCACTGGGAAGACCTGAAGAGCCGAATTGAATAGCCACAGATGTGTCATTTAAACAGGAGTGCCAGAATTTGTATATAATTATAAAAATCAGTTCTAACAAATATAATCAGGTGTCTTTTTACGTGTTTTAGTATTGGTCTGATACCTATACTGGGTATTGGATCAATGTCCATTGAGGCTTGAAGTTTACCCTGTGGAACTACATAGATTTTGTGTGTTAAGCTATTCAGTAACTATGTGTTTTGTTTGTTTTCATCAAGCTGAAGAAATCCCCTGCCGTTACAGCTGAACAAAGTTCTCCCATGTCCTGTGAGGATACAGAAGATGAATCATCCAAAGTATCTCAGTTCTTCCTCTGTGACATCTTCACTGAAGTAGAGGATGGAGACTGACTGGTTAGCTTATCCAAAGACTGCTGGTTATATTACAGGTGCTGTTCTGTTAGTCTGTTACCTCTCATAGAAGCAAGTGTTCAAGTTCAAGTGTTCATTTCTTAAGCATCATTTATACTGTTCTAATTTAGCATTAACAAAATGCTACAACATTATTTTTGTCTGTGATCACTAGAATAATTACTGTTTCTTTTAGTTAAGTTGCACAGTTCAAACAACTGTAGTTCATCTTCAGTTTTAACCCATTAATGTCTCATGTTAATTTTGCCTAATAGAAAAGCTATAATTTTATTGACAACTGCCTGACAGAAATTGATTCCTCCATAGGCTCTCTGAAGGCATTATGGGTGATTTAGCTGTGAATGTTACTGAGGCAATGTCTTTCCCAGTGCAATGTGCCTAATTTTTTGTGACAGTGAATGTGATGCAGTTCCATATGTTGCAGTCTTACCAAATGTGCAATCCTTGCTGCCTTATTTATTTCTTAGTTATTTGTGAATAAACATTGCACTTGTATATCTGTGGTGTTTTTCTGTTTTAAAAAGTCTGCTATCATAATACTTCTCACTTCTCCATTTTTATAAATAATGATAAATGAAAATGATAACTGATGGTAAATAATTTCTTGTTTTGTTTGTTTTTTGACACTTTAATGTTGTAAAGTGCTTCAAGATGTTGCTCCAGGGTAACCATATGTGGTGGTGATAGGAACCAGGCATCCACCTCTTAAAGCACCTGCAGAGAAAGTTGTTACATGATATGGTTATGCATACGCTGCCTGATGCCTGAAATATTGCTTTGTAATAAATATTGATAGTTTTGTGATAAAGCTTTGGTTTAAAATGTATTTTAATCCCTTTGTTTTAATCAATTAATGGTGGAGGGATACACACAGGGCGTTGTAAGGCAAACTAGTCCCCAAAGGAAACTTCTTTTCAGTGTTTTACCATTACTAATATTACATATTAAAAAAAACTCAGAAAACATGTTTTGGATAATAAATGAAATGGCTATATTTGTATTGTATACGTTGTGATCCCTGATTCCTATCACCACCACTGTAAAGAAATTGAAATCTTTTTAGAAATTTCGAAAACTTGGTGGAATTTCCCTTTAAGTAAACAGTTTTAAAGAAACGTGGTGTCATAGCGGACTGCCAATCAAGCCCAGCAGAAACTGTGCCGCTCTTGTTTCCGCACTTTTCAATTTTGGTTGGACTGAAGAGGGGCGGGGCTTCAGTAACATTCATCGCCCCAGCGGGTCCGTAAAAGCGAAGAGCACCCCTTTTATATTTTTCGTGCAAGGTGCTGCTACAGGGCGAAATTCATAGTGAGAAAAATGATACTGGAAACTCTAAGACCGGCTGTCTCCTTCATTCGGAGCAGGAGCGCTTTAGTGAGACTCTACCATGCGGATAAAGTCGCCACTCTCGGCTCCCAGGCTGACGTGCAGTCTCCCGTTTACCAGGTAGGACGAAACTGAAGCTTCGGACTGAAGTGGAGGCGTTTGACCGAGTGCAGTGGCTCTCGCTGAGTAACTGTAATGTCCTTGGCCCCTTGCGCTGCGTTTCACCTCAAGTTAAGCTACTAAGTGTGATAAATTTGTCTTTAGCTAACTGTCATGATAAAAATGCTGCTAACAGTTACTTCAGACTCCAGCTAGAAGGCTGACGTTTAAATAAACAAATGTCCTCCACAGCAGAGTGGACCGTTTTCAGCTAGCTAGCTTTCTCATTTTCATCTCAAAGTGCTTTGTGTGCTAAAATATGTGTTTTTTTCCAACTTATGTGTAAATGTGTGTTACACTTCTGTGTAACTAATATGTAAAATCATACTGTCACTCTGGTAAAACTGTCACCGTAGGAAAACTGTGAACGTATGCAAGCGCTGGTCAGGCAGCTGAAAGAAAGAGCAGAGAAGATAAAGCTTGGTAAGTTCTCTTCAGGAATACTATGAATTAATTAGCATATTCTAAATATTTGTTTTATAAGTTAGATGTAAAGCTAGTCTAAATTTAAATTTAATGTGATTAGATATATTAGCTTTTTCCATTTTCAGACGTACCAGGCAATATGGCACAAGGAGCACTTGTGCGTAGAAGTAAATGGATAAGAAGCCAAAATTTTAGGGAGATTCATTTGCATGGAGTGAAACCAATAACTGATTGACTACTAAAAAAATATTGTTACCTTATAGTCATAATCTTTATATTCACAATGGTAGGGCAAACACAGCACACATTCTTAATACCTTCATTATTGTGTCTCCATCATTAGTCTCTCTGTGTCTGTCAATGAAAACTGCACAGCCAACAGCGATTGTGAACACTCGCTTTTTTTACCACTGTTCGCTGAATAAGAACCCGCATATAAGGAGTCAAATGAATTGGAAGCTGCGAATAATTAGCCAACTTCAGCCTTGTGCAGTAAGATATCAGGTGGAGGAGAGAGAGCAAGGAAACTGCACACATCCAGAGGAAAGCTTTTGCCTCGGGAGCGAATTGATAGACTGCTAGACCCGGGGTAAATATTGCAAGAGCAAAAAAAGTGCTCAGAGATAAATAATCCAGCCTGTTTTGGTTGAGAATGAATCTACCATTGCTTGTGTCTGCATTAAATGTTTTCTGTGGATGCAGCTCTCCATTTCTAGAGTTGTCCCAGTTTGCTGCTTACCAGTTGTATGATAATGAAGAGGTGCCCTGCTGGAGGCATCATCACCGGCATTGGCAGAGTGTCTGGGTGAGGATGAGTGACTTTCTTTATTTAAGGGGAATTACATAGATTTTTTCCATTTTTTTTTAATTTCTCCATAAGTCAGTGGTTGAGATGTAAACAAAGTCATGCAGACTGGTTTGATGTGAAATGGTTCATTGAAGAAAAACTTAACGGATTCTGATTTCTTTTGAGTGGTGGTGATAGGAACCAGAGGTTGCAATATCTACAGTGCAAAAATAGCCATTTTATTTATTGTCCAAAATGCCCAATGGACCTACATGTGTTTACTGAGTTTTCATGTGCAGCGTAACTAATGATAAAATAGTGGACAATTTGAAAAAAGAAAAGTTTTCTTTGGGGATTAATTTGCTTGCGTGTGCCTCTCCACCATGAATGGTATTTGTAACCATCTCGCGTAATAGTTTTCCATGAGGGAGGTTTTAAAGGCATTAAACTCTTTGGATCTCTGGTTTCTGCCACCATAACTATGAGCAATTCTGACTCGATAAATTTCTCTAGAACAGAAAATTTCACGTTGAACCACTCGGAACCATAACAACTTAATCAAGCAGAAATTAAATGTGAAATTCTCTTTTAATTACTTTTTAGACATCAGTATTTATACAGTATTCATAATTATTTAAAATAGCTGTTGAGTTCACTTACTTTGTATGGATTATGTATGAATTATCAGTAATTCTCTTCTGTTTATTTCAGGGTGGAATGTGTCATTGCTTCAAATGATGCCACTGTCAAAGGAGGCGCCCATTATCCAATTACTGTAAAGAAGCACCTCCGAGCTCAAGAGATTGCACAGCAGAACCATTTACCATGCATATACCTGGGTAAGATAGATATGTAACAGATGGATATGATGTTCAGTGTTTTCTCAATATGGAACATTAGTGTTTAACAGGGGTGTAAAAATCAATAACCTATTGTAATAACGTTCAAAAAAGTATCTCTTCATTTACCGGCCAACAACTTAAGACAATTTTCAAACATAAAAAAGCTTTGTGTATTGTTTTTATTGTCTCTATTCCACTACAGTGTCAGACCAAATTGTGTGGTCAAAGAACTTACTGCCCCTAGTGTTTAAGTGTCACACTAACTAGCTTTTTTTTTTTCTACAGTGGACTCTGGGGGGGCCAACTTGCCCTTGCAGTCTGGTGTGTTCCCTGACAGAGATCACTTTGGGCGCATCTTCTTTAACCAGGCGCGTCTGTCGGCAGAGGGCGTTGCACAGGTGATGATCTGCTTTACTGTCCTCTGCCTTAGTCTAACTCTGTTTATGCCTTTGTTTGCTTGCATGAGCTCTAATTTTGTAGAACAGTATCTGACTGAATGTGTGTCTCTTCTAGATAGCTGTAGTGATGGGCTCCTGTACAGGAGGGGGTGGCTATGTCCCTGCCATGGCCGATGAAAGTATCATTGTGCGCAAACAAGGGACTATATTTCTCGGTGGACCCCCACCAGTATGTTGAGAAGTAGAGAGTCTGAATACCTTGGTACTCTGATATTAGCTTGTGTAAAGTTAGATTTTAGTAAAAATTATATTTAAACAGTTGTCCTCTTACCACAGGTGTAGTCGTTCAACCCTAATACTGTATGTAAAGTGTTTGAAATTTCCTGTTTTGCAATGAAGCTACAAGGCTAACGTACCTAGCAAGTAATGGAAGCTTATTCACTACCAATTAGCCTCATATAAACTCCATTTCTAAATCATTCCACCTTTGCCTCAAACAACATTGAGTTGTTAAGTAATCTCAAATATTCATACTTATGTTTTTTACAGTATTACCTATGAAAATGACAAAGATATAAACAAAATTGAGATTGCAGAGTGGTGCTGCACTGTTGTAGCTATGTGACATACTCTTGTCTGTTTTTCTTCAGTTACTGTCACTTTAAAAGGGTAACGTATTTAATTGAGCATTAAAGTGTATAGAAAACTGGTAGGTGTGACATATTTAGTTATAATGTCGTATGCTTAGGAAATTAGTGAAATGTACCAATCTCTCTCTGACTGGATTTTTTAATCCATGTGTGTCTGGTAGGTAAAAGCTGCCACAGGTGAGGAAGTCTCTGCTGAAGATCTTGGGGGAGCAGACCTTCACTGCAGGTTGACCACTACACTTTATTTTTAATGGCATTTTATTCAGGTAATAAGAACAGTGGGCTTAATGTACTAAACCTTTTCAGATGCAGTTTGGATGCATTTTGCCCTCGTGTTCTGTATAAAGCTGGTGCATGCGACTACACGCATTTTCTGGGCCGTGCACATGGAAAAACACAGAAGCATTTCTCTCACTCATGCATATACATTTGAAGAGGGGCCACACAAAACGTAGGCGAATCACGCAAGAAAGTGTGAAGATGTTTGAAGTTCGGCTTCAGCTCAGATTACCACAGTTTGAGCAGCTCTCAGCAGCCCTGAGTTTTAAAAAGGTGTTGCTAAGAGCAGAACACAGCATAGACAGAGACACTAGAATCTCACACGTTCTGAAAGAATGTTTACCAATGGAATAATAAAGCAATAAGCCACGAGAGGATTCAGTTTGGGTTTGACGGTACAACTGACCGAAACACGAACATTTGAAGCGCGTAATCAATTCAAGTGACATTTTTAGACTTTTATACTGCCGTTTCACAGTTAATCATACCGTAAGTACATTAATTCAAGCCTGTGATATTAATGATGGAGACTGTTGGCTCTCTTTTAGCCTGTTAGCTAGCTGACCACCCTAGTTCTAGTTAAGAATATAAGTCTCCAGTCCCAATTTTTTAAACAAAAAACGGGTTCATATTTCATC